GTTATACATGCAGTTTTCAATTTGTAAAATCATTCAAACCAGATAGAAAATTGTACAGAAATCGTGTATCATTGCTTATAACAGCTTTGTGTATTTGTTGAACATTGTCCCATGATCAAATCATTTTGCTGATTTTACTGTTAGTCATTGTGTGTTGGTTGTCAAAACCAATGTAATATGTATACTGTTTGTGTCTTTAGAATTGTTTATAAAGCTACTTCTACAATCGTAGTGTAATATAGCCACTCCAGGACATTCGTAAACACTTCTTTTTCCTAGCCCAGACTGACACAATAATTTGGAAACTTTAAGCTTTCAAACCTTGCATTAGTCTTTCAGAACCTTTATGAAACTTGATGTTAAGCACCAGTTTTTTCTCTTTATGCGAACTACAGATATTAGTGCAGTCAAATTGAAATGCTTGCTGTTTACTTTTGCAGTTTACTTTTCTATTTATATGAACTACAGATATTAGTGCAGTCAAATTGAAATGCTTGCTGTTTACTTTTTTAGTTTTTTCTCCCAAATGCCATAGAACTAAACTACAAATACTGTATATAAAGATTTCTTCCAATTTGATGACACCTTAAGGTTTCTTAATTCATATGTTGGTTTGATAAAAATCTTAGAGGCTTCCGTAGTGAATAGGATATTTTATTGCACTGTCCAAACTTATTTTGTTTAATCTGTAATTAGACCTAGATGATTTCAATATTCCTGAGTTACTGAATTCTAAAATCGACAATATTTTGTACAGGAAACTCTGTAAATTTGTGACTGGAGCCTTTTCTGACCATGTCAAAGATAAAAGTGTTAAAAAATCAAATAGTTGTTGTGTTGTAAACTGGTAATGTATAAACATGTTGTGACATTGTTGTAAACATATTTTTATGTAAATATCTGTCGTTAATGACTTGTGAAATATTCTGTTGTGTTCAAAACACTGAATTCCTCTCCTGCTGTCATTTTTTTTTACTCGATGCTCATTCATGTTCATAATTTGTAAGACTTGGAACTGTTTGAGTACAGAAGTATGACCCATTTAATAGTATTTATCTGGCAATAAGTCCATGTCTGGTAATAAGCCCATCCATATTCATTGCAGTTTCAGAATAAACTCACAAGCTAACAGACACATTAATTATTGCCTTGGTTTAAGGACACCTTCCAATTTTGAGGCAAAAAGTTTACTTTGATTTCCTGGGCTTATTGTGGGATAAATTGATTTCCTGGGCTTATTGTCGGATAAATTTACATAATTGTGTAAGCAGTGATATGTAAATGTTGTTGAGATGTTGGCGCCTTGCTGTAGACCTGTGTCGTTTTGTATATTAGACAAAGTGCCTTTTATGATCAGTACCTCTCACAAAACCATTACTTATATACAACAGCACGAGGTCTCTGAACACTGTATACTACTGTACCCTCTCACATCTCACAGGCCCGGTATAGCATATTGTATATAACTCATGTAGCCCAAAACTTAGGCTGGAATGTTCACATTGTAGGGAAAGAAGAATGTGCGCTAAAGATGTGAAAATGTCACACTTGTTTTCAAATAGAGATTTTTTCTGATTTTGATTCAGATCATTCTTTTGAAAATATGTTTATGTTTCCATGAAAAGTTTTTATCATAATTTATTTTTTGTAGGGATTTTTTTTATATATATAACATATAAGCTGCATAATGAGTATTCATAATAAAGTTAGTACAAATGTATATCTATGTGTAAGGTCCAAGTTCATCTTGGTGTTATTGTATCATGTAGCACCACCTAGAGAGCAAATTCATAGAAGTCAAAATAATCACAGACAAATCAAAACTCTGGCAGTTGATCAGCTCTGTATTAGATTGACAGCTTTGTTTCTCCATTTCCGGAGGTTTTTTTAAGAGTCTAACAATCCCAATTGTGTTTATTCACTAAAGTTGTAGAATAAAGAACTTTAACAGAATAGATAAGGCGTATTGTTCCTGCTGGTTATCCTAAGAATGTGACACCTTCATTTTTTAGAAAACATTATACCATGTAAATCACATATCACATAAACGATATTATGTGTACTTGTAATTAATTTTCAATTTGGTTGTCTCAACCTTTTTTTTTAAAATTTATCCCAGTTTCAGTATTAATTTCTCTTATTAATTATATCTAACAGTATTGAACAAATCTGTGTGTTCTTATCAAGGTTTGGCTTCCATCTGTCTGCTGGTATTTTTCTCACAGTAGCTTTCCATGATTAGGTGACACAATATGATTAAACTACAATAATTTTTCACAAAATTTTCATCAGGTAGGTAATGTCGATAGAATAGAAGTTCTTGTATCACTTATAAATATGGTTGAGTTGTAAGAACTTGTATTTTATGACTTTTCAGGTGGTGTAGAGCTATACTGAATTAAGTCACTGTTATTGTTGTTCAACTTTGACCACTAATCATAAGAATTTAATCAGGTATAAAACTAGAAACAAAATCTCTGGAGAAGTTCATAAAATGCATGTCATGCAAAGAAAAAAATCAAATGTGACCTTTTGGGCCTGTTAACCTTGACTGATGATTATCAAAACCCTAATCAGGTTTTAAACTTGATGTGAAATTAAGTCTTTGTGAATTTAATAGAAAAGTGGCCAAATGTGATTTTTGCAATGAGCAGAATGATACAGAGCTAGAACTAGATAATACGTATCTGAATGACTAATTATGATCTGCTGTACAAGAACTGGAAACACTTCAGAGATTGATATCACAGTTTGAGGTCAGTGGTAATGTTGCTGGAATTTTGCTCCCAAAAAGATATTTTAGGAACTCAAAAAGACTCATTTAGAACACCCTTTTTCAGACATGTTTGTGGGTGGATTTCTTTGCTGAATCAAATTTTGAAGATAAGAAATATTAGTAGATATCTGTATTATAATATTCCTTAATTGTGTTAGTGAAGATACCAAAGATTATGCCGTAGGTTAGTACTTACTACTAATAATTATTCTTCTGGGGTACACCTGTCTGGATTAGCCGAAGATATTTTGTCATATACATGTTTTACATACACGCATGCCAAAGGTTTAATGATCAGAAAAATAGGATACCTTGTACAATGACTCAAGAGTTTCAGTGAGTTGTGCAGGCAAAAAATTTCATAAATCTGGAGACATAGAAACATAGTTTTGGTGCAGAGGTTATCATTTTAAGGTGAAAACTTCTGTAGCAAAGATGAAAATTGAATTTTTTGGAAGTTAATATTTTGATGGAAGAAAATAATGAGAAACAATTTCAAAAAGGTATATTTTTGGTGGCCTATAGCGGACTTTTTTCACAAGATATTAAAAAGCCTAACAAGAAATAGTGGTGAAAGAAATCATTCTAAAGTGTAATATTTATACATGTTTTATTTCTTCAATCCCAAGAACCATTGTTATTTTGATGAATAACATTTGGTTCTCGGGATTTTAGATCAATCTTAAAAACAAATCAGCTAAATACCAGGAGAGAGTAAAACTGTCACAAAGAAAACAGATCACATGTATTATGCCATTTCAGAAAGGGTACTATGGAAAATTTATTTGCTAGATATTAAAACCAGTTTTTTCACATATTACTTCTTTTGGCATAACAGTTCAAATAACAAGTTAGGGTATTTGAATTTAAAAAATTAAGATATTAAAAAACATCTCCATAAGATCTGTTGATTTCAGGAATTAATATACGAATTTACTTCTGGATGTCCTTTTTTTAGTATTCATGTGTTTTATTTTGTACAGAAAATTTTAGGTAGATATTTATGGATATTTTGTGCCAAATTGTGCCACATACACTGATTTTAAAGATTTGTGTTTTGTTAACCCTTGAATATGTTTCCTGACTTTTATTGCTGAAATATCGAAAATATGTATTTTTGTCCATGAAAGCATGTTAAAAAAAATGAAAAAAATGTTGTCTAAAGGAACAACCGATTGACTAAATTTGAAGGAAATATAGACACTAAGAATTTGGTACCCAAGTTTAATTAGATATTATATGATGTTCTCGTTTAATTGGGCTAAATTGTGAAAAAAAAAAAAAAAAAAAGAGAGAGAAATGTTGAGAAATTAAAAATGATAAAAAATGCATAACTTTAATGACTTCTTGGAATTGAAAGTCTTCTGAAGCCTTCTGATTCAGCTTATATTTGTTAATGGTATTGAAATATGCTTGGACAAGGACTATTCTGGACCAATAGTCAGAGTGGTGTACCAGATGATGCCTAGAGCGAGAATGGGAAACGATCTTGATGTGCATTATATACCAATGTTTTTATAGCAAATGACCGAAATATACTTCGCCATGCAGAGATAGTATCAGATCATATGTATTGTATTATCAATAAACTGGAAAATATTTCAAAACAAGCTTTTGTCGGTTGTCTGTAACTCACTTTCATCAGAAGTATTGTTGTTCAGATCATGTTTTGACCTTAGTGTGCCCATCAATCGTTTGTAAAGCCTTGAAAAACAATTCTGGTTATAGCTATTTCTAGACAAGCAGCAATCTCTAAGGAAGGGAGGTAAGGGTTTTTTTTTTTTTTTTTTTTGAAAAGTTATCACCAGTCTGTGCTGTGATGGTTGTCCTCGGGTGAAATAGAACTAAAAATTTCTTTTAACGTGTGATTAATCTAAATCAACACTTGTCCACAAAATAAACATAAAAATTGACATGGGTTACAGCACTTGTGGATTTTGTCAGAGACGTATATCACACGTGTTATATATGTCTCTGATTTTGTCAGCAAGATTCACCCTCAAAATCGAGTACCAACAAAAATACACATTTTTGAAAAAACCGTGAAGTGTGAGCCCAATGAAATTACATGATTTAACAGTAGTTGAAGTAGCCACCAGGTATCAAAGGAGACCCTGCCTTAAAATAATCATAAGTATTGATGGGGAATAATTCCAGTCATCAAAGCAGATTACAATTCATATTCTGTACAAACTGTATTTTATAAAAAATAAACCAAAACAGATCACAAGACACCTTTTATTTATAAGATCATCATCTCAAATTAACAATCTTCATAAGTTTTAATAAATATGATTATGCAAAATTCTCCATGCTGGATACAATTCCACTTTGGCTGGAAGTCCAGTTAGAAACGGGTCCATTTATGAAATACTTTGTGTACATCAGGGAAGGCTCTTTGAGAAATCACAAGATGATCTGATTTTTGTAGCTGCCACTGAGAGCTTTGTCTGGTAGAACAATGGAGTTCAGTATCACCACCTCTGATGGCACGGTTACATTGGATCCTGTAAACATAGTGTTAATAATAGATATTTATAGAAAAGTATTTGTATGATACAAAAGTTTAAATAATTTAAAAAAAAGAAGAGAGAAAATACATGATTCCAGATTTCCATGGTTTTCTACTCTTGATAACTATTATGGATGACTGTCAACAATGAATGGTCTTGAGAATCTGGCTGTTGACAATGTATGGTCTAGAGAATCTGGCAGTCGACAATGATTGGTCTAGAGAATCTGGCTATCGACAATGAATGGTCTAGAGAATCTGGCATATTGAATATTATTCTAAACCACTGCACTCCTTTGTTCTCCATGGAATTAAGAGGCATAAGACTAGTGAGTCATTCTAAAGCTCATATTCACTCTGACCGAGACACAAATATTCATCCACCAGTGGCATTCCACTTGCTCTCGATTTCTACATTAGTGTTGTATCCCTTTCAAAATGTATTAAAGCAAATTGGTACCTACTGATAATAATGACCCTAATGTCAGATATCTTTCTGAAGTCACTCATAATAGAAAATATTAATAAGCTAACTAACTAGTAAGAGCCAAGTTTCCAAGCAAATCGTGCCCAACACATTTTATCAACCCAGTTACTGACTGCTCTACCCAGATATGAAGTCGAGGTAATTGTACAATTAACAAACATGATTATCGCTTGTCCCAGATGTAAACAGCAATGATGTTGGAGATGCAGTTTCTCAGAACACATACAGGACATTAGAAAACAAAGGAACAGCCAGTAGCACTAGGATCAGCATTCCAAGGTTAAACGTACCATTCATCCTTTTTATTTTCATTTTTTATCAATATTCTATTTTATATATTTACTATCAATTATTGATATAACATTGACTGTTTTTACTACCTCTCCTTTTTCATTAGATTCAATTTTTCATTAGTAGATCACTTTTGCAAAACTGAAAACTCAACATTTGTGAATTCTGAAATTACCTCAACTTCGTATTTTATGTTTTGGAAAATAAAACTTTGTATATCTGGAAGCTAAAGGCTACCGCTGAATCAATGTTAAGGGGTTTCTCTATTACAGGACAAAGACAGCAATACAGATCTACTGAAAATGTAGTAAATTGGTTTACTGATAGGGTGGACTTATTCCTGAGTAAACAGAAAAGAAAGAATACTACAGCTAGATCAGTTCTTGAGTCTGGAAATTCTAAGCTTTTGATCATGAGTTACTTGGCCACATAGGCTCAAAGTTTGGTTAGAGTTAACTTATTGTTCGCAAAATAAATAAATAAGAACTTTCAAAGCAAAGCGAACATGCAATGTTTCTCGTCTCAACAAATCTATAGCTGTGAACTTATCAAACATGTTCTCATTGTTTTAGTTTTATTCATATTTCAAAAGTTTCACTAATGACTGATTGACCAAGCTTTGAGCAACTGCGTCCTGGTCACCAGAACAAGTTCAGTTCCACTACACAATACTGAATCATTCCTTTAACTGAAGAACAAATGAATTTTTCCTACCTATCACAGTTATAGAGGGGTTGAGTTTTCCCTCTGATGTAAATGTGGATGTCGTCTCAATCTTGGCAAAGGGTTTGTTAGGATTTGGGTCATTTGGTGTTCCTTCGACTCGGGTCCATGTCCCTACTGTACTGTTCCAGCCAATAACACTGTATAGTATGCAGCAGTGGTCCTGTATCAAATAAATAAAAAAAAACATGTTAAATTGACAAGAAAACATTTATAATAGTGACTATTTAAACAAGATTAAAACTCCATTAACTTACCATATATGACAAACAACAAACCGAAATTTATACTTTTATACTCCAGAAAAGTGACATATTTTCTGATTGGAAGAACAAGGTTTACTTCAGCTATCCTTAAATTTATGTTATAAAAATTATGGAACTGTTTATTGGCATGGATTTAAGTGTGTCAGGTTTCCGAATGTGGCACTCCACTGGTTGAGCAGGTAATCTCAGGAATTGTTTATTTTCTATAGGGGAAGACAAAGAACAACAACTTTTGGAACTAAATATATAATAATGTTCTATTGAAACAAGAGAACCATGGGTCTTAGCATTCACCTGACTATAAAAACCTGTATATATGATACATTATCTGTCATAGTCGTAAAAACTTAAATCTTAAAACTTAAAACATTCAACTTATATCAGTAGACATTGCAACAGCAGTAAAGGCAAAAATCACTCCTCATTTCAGTTTCTTAACATTCCCACAAATTTCAGGACAATGAAACCAATAAAACTGACTGAAAAAAAGATTTTAAATGTATTTATCAAGATGGTGGCCATATTCGATTATGGACTGACCTGAACACTGACAACAAGAAGATAATTTTTTAAGAAGATGAGTTGAAAGGTTTTGAAGTTATAGCCCGAAAAAGCCCTTGGACAGAATGCATGCAAGAACGAACAGACATTTGCTCGCATACAAACACGCACACAGCCAAAATTAATATCCTCTGCTAATACGTTTTGCAGGAAATACTTAGTCAGGACCATCTGAGGATCATTTCAGGCAAGTTTCAACTCAGTTCCAAAGGTAGAACTTGAGAAGAAGTATAAAATTTGAAATGTTTACACATAATGCATGACAACAATATGACAGATGACCTAATAATGCAACACAACGGTCTTTGTGGTTTTAAGAGCGTATCTACCTACCTGAAGCGTGGCTCCTTCCAGCACAATGGACTCTCGAACGCGAACTCCCTCTCCGATGATGGCATGCTTTCCTATTGTCACATTAGGACCAAGCTACAAAACATAAATAGAACATTACTTTATGAATGAAGTCATTAAATACAATCTGCAATTTTCTTTCCATTTGAACTATATTTCAATTTGTGCTATAGTCAACCTAGCTGTATAGTTTGATTTGTTCCTTACTCACCACAGCTGTTGGATGGACCTGCGCAGTAGGATGTATGAACACATCATCTCGTATTGTCGGCTGTTCTTTCCCATTTTTAGCCAGCCTCTCGGGGTGGCTATCCCTGTATATAGCTAGGTAATGTCTGTTGGCATATATAGCAGCTCTACAGGGGAAAAATATTGATATCTAATACTTCAGAAGACACAAACAATCACCTCAATTTATCAGTGACCTACTTATCCTACCAGAAACCCAAGAAGTGTAGACATAATCTCAAAATTGCAGGTGGGCTTATTACAGGACAGTGAAACAGTATTTGTTAGCGATTCTGAAGGATGGATGGGCTTATTACAAGGCATGGACCTACTTTCAGTAAAAATGTAGTAAAACAAATATTTGTGCAACATACTGGTATTGTGACAGTACTTACCCAGAGGACTTAATCTGACTCCAAAAACGGTCAGTGTGGTAGGCATACAGTTTACCACTGTTAGCCAGGGGGATAAAGATCTCCTGCTCCAAGCGAATCATTTCCTTAGAAGGTGTACTGGGGTCAAAACTGGAAAAATTACATAATTACCATTTACCTTTCAAAAGAGAATGATACAATAACATCTTGTTTAGTTAGCATGTCTAGAAATTATACATAGTAAATTGCTTAAACGGATTTATTTATATTGGTTAAATATGTCATTGTTGACAAGATCCCAAGGTGTTACAGCATGAGTCAGTGGCGTCCAAGGATAGAGTAACCTAATCCTGTACAACATAAGTCAATGGAGGTCTTGGGCCCATTTAAATAAGGCTGTACCAGTCTATAGCGCTAACTGCAACAGCTAAGGTGTTACAACATGAGTCACTGATGCCAAAAGACAAAGTAGATAGGGTTGTAAATCATGAGTCACTGACGTCAAAAGACAAAGTAGCTAGGGTTGTAAATCATGAGTCACTAACGTCAAAAGAAAAAGTAGATAAGGTTGTACAGCATGAGTCACTTGGGTAAAAAATAAAGTACAGCATGTCAATGTCACTGGAGGTCAAGGTCATAGTTAGATCAGGTTGTACTGCATATGTCAATGCCACTGGAGGTCAAGGGCTTAGCTAAGGTGATACAGCATGTCCATGTCTCTGGAGGTCAAGGTCACAATTAGTTGAGGTAGTACATACAGCATGTATCACTTTGGCCCAAGAACTGCCTCTGGGCTATCTATTATGTGATTTGGATCACTGAAGAATGGGTAGTTTTCTCAGATCATATTCTTAAATTACAGCTGAAAATTTCTAAAAACTTCAACTAAGAAAAGTGAAAATAGGACAGTTGAAATAATACATGCTGTTTTCACATCTATGAAAATATTTACACAAACAGGTTTGTTATCTGCATACCCTAATCTCTGTGTGAAAACAACATAACATCTGATGTACATGCAGACATATAATCTGGTATGTCATGATGGATTTTCAACAATTACACAAAATGGCACTAAATACATGCAAAACACAAACATTGGTCAACAACATTCAACCTTCAGGTCAGTTACTGGCCGCACTACATTCATAGTAAAGCATACACAACCGTATTATATACTAACTCACTCAGGATGTCTGGACATAACACCATAAGCATTTCATTGTAGCTCTTAACCATTTACATGTTAAATGTTAGCTTCAGCAGGCAGGAAGTGAGCATTTCCACGTATTCTTAGTGTAGACAACACATAGCTGGAGACTGGCCAATCTGTATAATATCTGACACTGCCCCTGTGATTAACAGAATATGTTACCTGTATGTGTTTAAAATGTATTTATTACTGCGAAAGACTGAAATTCTGTTGCAAAATCTCATTTGAGTCATAATGTTAAGAATAATCCTGCCTGGGACTACACAACAATTACATGAGATAAGAAAAAAATCACATACTACCCTGGTCTAGATAATGTCCCATCTTATCTGTCTGCTGCATACCTTTACAAAATCAATTTGAAGAATAAGGAAATGAAACTAGTTGAGAAATGTTTATAATATATTTAATGTACGACAAAAAGAATTGCTACCTATATGTGTTTGAGATCCATTTTTCTACCCCACCGGACTGAAATATTCCTACTTCTGGTGAGGGTAAGATATCTAAATCTTAACCCAACAAGAGTCTGCACGCACAGGAAGTGACATTTCAGGTTTGTGTTATTGTCAATAACATCATTTTTATGATGTGTTGGGGTCAGCTGGGGACACTGACATCACGAACATTTGTCATTCAGGCCTCAAATGCAAATGACTATACTGATGGTTATAATGTCACATGAATATTAATTTGCTTATTTGTTTTTTAGCCCTCCAGCTAGGGAAAGACCTGATTGTTCTGTTACCCAGGACAGGTGTATCCACCTTTTTCCTGATGTGAGATTTCCTTGTCTCATCCTAGGGTTGACACAAGCTACACAAGCTCTTTACAAATTCTTAAAACAATTTAAGTGATGTCACTGACACGACCTTGTAGTGGAGCTACTTTTATGGGGTCGCAATTACTATACCCTCTACTGAAATCTTATATTATCCTTAAAACTGAAAATCTTATGTTCTCATCAAGGTTGAAACTCATCTTAATCCACAACTTTGTTCAAACTTTGTTAACTCAAAGTTGTTACAGTCATTAAAATTTTTTTGAGTTATTCAAGTATTCAAGTTGAATTAGTCTTGATGTGACACTTTACCTCTTCTCAGTATCACCTTCTCGATGGTAACTGATGTACTTTCTCTATTGATCAAAATCATGTACCCTCGTGTGAAAGCATAAGCTAATGTACCAGACCAGGTTGTGATTTTAGCTGTGCAGATAAGTTCCATGTGACAGCGCAATGAGATCCATATTTCTGTGTCACATAATTGCAAGCTTAAGTGTTAATCAATAGCTTTCTGTAAGTACAGTTTGACTGTTAATCAAAAAATTAAATCATCAACATGTTTTTATTGTAGCAACAGTCAGACAGAATTTCTCTTCACGAATTAAAGCAGTAGTGTGGCATAGAGTGTCATATGATAACGGTGTATTGGAACATGATCTTTTGTAACGCTACGTCAGGAGTTTGTTTGGCTAGAAAAAACTTCGAGCTTTGGTAAAGAGGAACTTTTAAGTAGGACTTTTGATTTTCTGGACCAAATTTTCGTGCAAATAATCAGACTTTTTCAAATTTTCCAAATTTAGAATTTTCCAAGTCTTTATTACTAAGATAAAGAGAAAATTCTGCTGTGACTGACAAAGTACTTTGAGTTAAGCGGGGTATTCAAGTTTGAAATAAAGAAATTTGACAGTACATCAGGAATGTATCGAGAGTATAATTTTATTTGGTTGGCATGTCCACTAGGATCATATTTCACGTAAGATTAAATTACAATGTGTGAAGTGTCCGAGACACGGGCTTCATCACTATTTATCTGTCATTTATGTGTTTTTGTTTACACACAATACACTTCATCTTGCACTGAGATGAGGTAAACAGGGTAAGAGAATTATAATCATTCATCCTCTCTAGGATCAGATAGAAGGATAACAACCCTTGAGGGAAGATTATAAAGCTGTCAAACACTTGGTAAGCATTGTGTTTGACAACTTATTATGATCTTCCCACTCTGGTTGAGGTCCCAAGGTCTCACCCTAAAGGAAGTGAAAGAATCCATTACTCTGAATCTTGGCTGGACATTCTGTTTCATCACTTTCTCTGCATGGCCTCAAATGAGATTTTGTTGAAGAATGTCAGCCCTCAACTGAGACGAATTGAACTCGAACATATACAGGTATACAGGTAATAGATTATATACAGGTAACAGATTTCATACAGGTAACATATTCTATACAGATAACAGATTTCATACAGGTAATAGATTCCATACAGGTAACAGATTCCATACAGGCAACAAATTCTATACAGATAACAGATTTCATACAGGTAATAGATTCCATACATTTCAATACAGGTAACAAATTCTATACAGATAACAGATTTCATACAGGTAATAGATTCCATACAGGTAACAAATTCTATACAGATAACAGATTTCATACAGGTAATAGATTCCATACAGGTAACAGATTCCATACAGGTAACAGTTTTCATACAGAACATAATGGTGTCATGATCATATACAGTATACTATAATATTTTTACTTTACGCTACATACCGCTAAGATGGACCTAAGATGTCCAATGTATGGAATATTCCAATAACATATATCAGTGATGTGACTGGCAAAGTTATATACAAACTGCTATCACAGCTACTGTATAGATCAGTGTGTGTAACAGTCAGCTCCTAATAGTAGTCGATTGTTCAGAAAACATAAAACATTACTGTTTATAACAAAGACATGAACATTCTATTCAAATTCGTTTCATCTTGTTGATTTCTTTCTCTGGTTGGTAAAACATCAGACATACTATTTGTACAATCATTTACATAACGGTGTCACATTGTGTATAACATCAGACAAATTTCGCCTACCCTGCAGACTCAGTAAATGTTGTAACAGGGGCCAAACATACAGAGTATGTGGGAGATGTAGGGTAGATTTCAAGTAAACTAATGCAAACAGAAGTATGACACCTCCAGCATGCAGGAATTCCCCTTCAGCTCGATCAGCAGAGGAACTTGAGATCAACATACTACCCATTTTTCTGTTACTACCCAATACACCAAATGATTTTGGATCCAACAAATTCCACAATTCCTCTATAATGTAATCAATTAAACTAGTGTATAAAATAGGTTATATTACATTTAAAATTTCAATAAAATGTTTAATTTTAACCAGCTAATTAAAATTTCTATTATATAACACATCTACAATGATGAAAAAAAGCGTTGAGCTACAGATATACTTCATATACTTCCAATCTGCATTCATAATCTACTTAAATGCAAAAGCTAAAATCAGTTAAGTACGGAGTAACTACAAAAAAGATCTGAAAAGAAAGCAACCGACATCTAAATTACTAAAACAATGTAAATTGAAAACTGATCTCAAAATTACAGTTAAATTTCTCCTGCTGTTTTCTTACGGGAAAATTTCTTTTATCAGGTATAAAACTGGGAAGAAAGGATGTGATGGGTATACAAAATAACAGAGAAGGGAAATAACTCTCCATTTCACCAGCATGCCATGAAACTGAACAACAGTGAGCACAAGACAAGTTACCATCCACTGTACACTGGCTCATCATATAGTCCTGCTACAGAACTGAAGGAACACAACAATATTTCACAGAAAATAATGTACAGAAATATGTATATTTCTTTTATATATAAACCAGGCTTAATCAAGTATGAAGTGACCCAATATTTTTCCCCAAAAGGTCAACGGTAAAATAGGAATGAAAGTGCAAGTATATATAATCCAATCCCATTCAAGTTCAGCTGCATTTTGAAAAATTGGTTGAAACATGCTAATGAAATTGATTCTGTATCTTCAATCAAAGGTCAAAAGGTCAAAAAGACCATGTTTAGACATGCAATATATAGCAACTTGTCTTCATGACATGTAAAATAGTCATTATAGGTCTTATATGATACAGTAGCCATGATATACTCCAGAGACTGGACCAGACAGACACAGACAAATTATTTCTACATTCTTAGCTTCAGACTAGGCCCATATATGATACAGTAGCCATAATATATAGACTGAACCAGACAGACACAGTCAAATTATTTCTACATTCTTAGCTTCTGACTAGGCCCATATATGATACAGTAGCCATGATATACTCCAGAGACTGGACCAGAAACCCACAGTCAAATTATTTCTACATTCTTAGCTTCAGACTAGGCCCATATATGATACAGTAGCCATGATATACTCCAGAGACTGGACCAGACAACCACAGTCAAATTATTTCTACATTCTATGCTTCAGACTAGGCCCATATATGATACAGTAGCCATGATATACTCCAGAGACTGGACCAGAAACCCACAGTCAAATTATTTCTACATTCTTAGCTTCAGACTAGGCCCATATATGATACAGTAGCCATGATATATAGAGACTGAACCAGACAACACAGTCAAATTATTTCTACATTCTATGCTTCAGACTAGGCCCATATATGATACAGTAGCCATGATATATTCCAGAGACTGGACCAGACAACCACAGACAAATTATTTCTACATTCTTAGCTTCAGACTAGGCCCATATATGATACAGTAGCCATAATATATAGACTGAACCAGACAGACACAGTCAAATTATTTCTACATTCTATGCTTCAGACTAGGCCCATATATGATACAGTAGCCACGGTATACTCCAGAGACTGGACCAGACAACCACAGACAAATTATTTCTACATTCTATGCTTCAGACTAGGCCCATATATGATACAGTAGCCACGGTATACTCCAGAGACTGAACCAGACAACCACAGACAAATTATTTCTACATTCTTAGCTTGACTTTGTATACTGAAGAATCATATTTATCATACAATAAGCCCAGGGAAAACATACACACAATAAGCCCAGGGAAAAACATACAATCTCTTGCCAAATGTGATGAAGTAGGCTTATTTGTGAACTTTGATTTACCAGGGTACATCTGTTGCCATTTCTTTTCAGAAGCTGCAGTTAAGGTGGGTGGGCTTATTACCAGACAGGGGCTTATTGCCAGATAGACACAATACTTAGAAATGCTGTATTACATTTCATTCTGTTCTTCATGACGTTTTTTTGAATGGCCAATAACTGTGGTGACATTGAAACTAGAACTAAAAAATATTTTTCACAGATAAGCCATGCTCCGAGACTTAGCCATTGTTAGTGTTAATAACAACAGTGAAGAAGTTTGTAAATATTACCAAGAGTTTGATCTGTTCGTAAAAGTAAACAAAACACTTCATAACAAAAGGCATAAACATCATATTTATAACTTTAATGTATCACTACACCACACAGTATTGTAACATACCTATATAAAGATTAGTTATATTGGTGATGTTTTGAGTTTCATTCATTTTACGATATCTCTTTATCTATAAATTTATCTGTTATGATAAACAGATAAATAGACTTTTTAGTGCTAAGTACATGAGTCAGATTAATCTATAAAATTAATTGTTTGTCTTTGTATGATTAAAGAATATACAACCCCTACAAAAATGCATGATTCTACAGCATTTGTATTATAACCCAGGATGAGATTTAATTTAAAAGTGTAACAAAAATTGAACTAAAATTTATAGAATATTTTTCACAAGTGTTAGATACAGAAAGATGGATATGACAGCCACAAGATGTTTAGTTTTGAAAATTTTACAATGAAGTGACACCATATAGTGTTCTGAAATTTCTGAAGCCGGTAAAAGGAAACTTAAATCGTGTTGTTGTTCTGTCGATCATTCTGCCTATTCAGAACACCAGTTTATTCAATGTGAAGCAGAATTTAGTGACGTTCGTTGATTAATCTATCTTTTAGAACATCATTTTCAAGATAGGTCGAGGTCAGTTAAAGTCATTTGTAAATACCAACCACCACCAGAACTTCATATGCTAATGATAAATTTGCAGATGACATAATGTGGCATTTGATTGACCAATCAAAACTTGGATTTAATTGCAAGTAAAATCCAGTGTAAAATATCCTTTATGAATTGACATCATATTGTCTCTATTTACTTAATGTCGGAGCAGTGATCTACCTAATAGAAAGAATTATCATGCAGGATTCATGTTCGTTAATTCATGGTTACTCTTAATCCATCAATTAATTAATGTTGAAATCAGTATATGGTTTTTGGTTCTATATATCGTTCCACAAAATCAAAATTTCATGAAAAATTAAAAAATCCATGAAGTTTGGGTTCCATGGTTTGATGGTAATCAGTTCATTATATAAGTACCTACTTGTAATTTTCCTGGAGATTTTTTTGGAAGATCTGCTGTAGAGGCTCGAAGACTCTTGGGGACAACAGATAGATCCCGCAGTTGATCGCTGTACTTACAAAGGTCTCGGGTTTCTCCACATAATGGAGCACCTGCAATGTATCGTAACTAACATATTTATCATGACTGATCAGATCAAATTAGATGATTTCGCTTTGTAACTTATTTCACAGAGTTGATATCTACTATTCTGGCCTTTCAGCACAACTCCTTGTAATGTGGGCTGACATATTAAGGTATTTTCTAAAACTTCATTGTGAAAATTTGTAATAAACAGATAAATATGTTGACAATCAATCTTTGTTTATCCAGCAGCATCTCAAAGCAAGGACTTTTTGTATTTGTCTGTTTTTTTTGTTTTTTTTTTTCAAATCATTGGTGATGGATTTTAATGCTTACCCCACCCCCCCCCCCCCCCCACCCCCACCCAACCCCAAAATCAGTTTACCATATTGTCACACTATTTCCAACCTTAGTGTACATAGGATTATAGTAAACAGAAAAGTTGTCAGTGCTAATATCCTCCACAGTGGTCATCTGTGTGATGAAGGTGACTGTAGTCATCAAAACATCATGATAAAATATTCTAATTGTTGTGTTATACGAACTTTTAATTTTCTTTTTTTACCAGACATTGACTTATTGTAAGATAAAACAGTGTCAACCCTACAAAAGGAACTCACCTCATGGGTATCCCTATTGTCTACCACACAGCCATAGTTAAGGGACTGTTGACGAGTCGCCTGAAAAAAACATCACATGAACAATAACAAGCTGCCTGAAACACACACCAAATAAACTATAATGAGTCGCCTTAAACATAGATCAAGTGAAAAATAACGGAAGGCTTAACCACAGATCAAATAAGTCATACTGACTTGACTGGTCACTCACCTCAACTCACAAATCATACAACAGATACTGGCTGGGCTGGTCACTCACCTCTGTACCTAATATCACACAACAGAGACTGGTCACTCACCTATGTACATAATATCACACAACAGAGACTGGTCACTCACCTCTGTACCTAATATCACACAACAGATACTGGCTGAACTGGTCACTTACCTCTGTACCTAATATCACACAACAGATACTGACTGGACTGGTCACTCACCTCTGTACATAATATCACACAACAGATACTGACTGGACTGGTCACTCACCTCTGTACCTAATATCACACAACAGATAGTGACTGGACTGGTCACTCACCTCTGTACCTAATATAACACAACAGATACAATGTGGACTGGTCACTCACCTCTGTACCTAATATCACACAACAGATACTGACTGGACTGGTCACTCACCTCTGTACATAATATTGTACAACAGATACTGGCTGGACTAGCCTTGTGTTGATCTAGCATATCTTGAAGTGGGAAGTCTCCACACACATCAGCATTCATAACGAAGAAATAATCAGGATTCCCCGCCAGGATTTGATCCCTAAAGTGATACAGTCCTCCAGCAGTTCCCAAGGCTGTGTACTCTTGTAGATATCTGTTCAATATACACCAACTAGATATATAATCTGATCCATTCAAGGAAGTTATCTCCCCTGGGAAGAAACAAAACTCTGCCCTGTTGTGATTTAACATTTAAGGTATGTCGAGTGGGGTGTAGTTAAGCTCATCAAGAAAAATTCAAAATTCTAAATTTGTGGCTTTGTTTTGGTTTGTCTTCATTTCAAATGTAATATCTTAATGGTCATCAGAAACAATACTTGGCAGGCCTTTATATTTCAACATAGAGATCACCTGGGTAGTACTCTGAATCAATTTCCTCTCAATACAGTTGTAGCCAAGTGTGTTCGGCTACAGGTCAGTTTGATTACCTATTCGTCTTTTCTGGTTGCTTTCCAGAATCTTTGATACCGAAAATTGGTAACGTCAATTCTGTCACTTGGCAGTAGTGACTGGTGTAAACACAGTGGAAGTATCATACAACATGGTAGTTTTATAATCGGTCTGATTTCAGTAGTTATGATAAACTGTATTATAGATGTTTAGGAGAAGTTTTTACATACAAAATTACATGAATTAAATGTGAAACCTTACAGAGCTGAGACAAACCACAAGTAACCAATCAATCAGGCAATCTCTTCAATATCTGCCCAACAGGTTAATTGGAAGTCATGTATCAACTTCAGTAGGTGCTCTAACCCCTTTCATGTCATACCTGGTTGAATATCAATCAATCAAATTTATTTCCTTTAGTTATACAACTTATCGGTAACATATAATAACACACATGATAATATATATAATACATAGAACAAACACTGGAACATCATTATACACACTATTTAGACACAAACAGTCAGTTTTCATTGTTAAAATAATTTACATTAATACCTGATGATGAGACGTACTGACAACCCAACTACATCTATATCATTACATCATCATCATCATCATCATCATCATCATCATCATCATCATCATCATCATCATCATCAGCAGCAGCAGCAGCAGCAGCAGCAGCAGCATCATCATCAATCATCATCATCATCATAGTATCATCATCATCAGCATCATCATCATCATCATCATCATCATCATCATCAACAATCATCATCAACCACAACAACAAAAAAACATAAGAAAAAAGAAATGTACAATGTAACCCCCGGTAATAATCAGATACTTCTACGTTTGTTCGCTTCAATAATGTATTTGCCCAGTAAATTCAAATCTTTCAAATTATGTGTGTTCAATAATTCTATAACTATGAAAACAGATGGCTTATACCAGTAATAATTTTAATGTATTTTCTCCTAAGATCGGAATATATGGGACAGGTAAAAAGAAAATGGAATTCATCTTCTACTTCTAATTGGTCACAATTATTACAAAGTCTATTATTCCTATCAGTATTTCTAGATCTACCAGTTTCTATAGCTACTTGGACACAGGTGTATGTCCAGGGTCACCACCTGGTCATAAGACCAGAAAAAGGCTGTGTTATTTACCTGTATATTTTCACAGGGGCTAAGCAGCATGGATATTGAATCATATATCAGAGAAGACAAAATCAATTATTTCATCTCAAAATTCAGACAGCATTATGAATAGAAATTATTCAAACCTATCTTAACTTGTAATATTTGTTACATATAAAAAGTATACATACCTTACTTGTAACTTGAATTCTTTTTGTGCCATGTTGATAAATTTTGTCAGAGCATCATTTGGTTGATAGAAGCCCATCAATATCACTTCCTTCATACCTGGAATCTTTAGAAAACAAAGACAGATACTTCATTAAACAACTACCATCAAGCTGTACATATTTTCATATGTGTGTTTTCACAGATTCTGGATATGCTTTACATATGGCTTTAGACAGAATTTTCACCTTGGCTTACTAATTCTATTGCAAAACTTTTGCTTTTTTTATTTAAAACGCAAAAAAATATGACTTTAAATTACTCCCTCCATCAAAGCAGGAAGAAGAAAGTATTTCAGTAACATGTTAGGTATCATATGATCAAGGATTAGTAAAATGAATTTGAAATGTATACAGTATGTATTTAATGCTTCCAAACTTCTTTTATAAACAAATCTCTTTTTACAATCAGATATCCATATGTATTTGAAATTCATACAGATTAAAAATTTCTTCTTCGTGTACATCAAGGATTCCATTTGACCTGTGAGGCTATGTTTTGGAATCCCAGTACTAGTTTGAACGCCTGTTACTTCTGAAAATAATAATTATATATCTCCTGCAGTTATGACTCTCAATCTTTGAAGCAAACCTTATTTGATAAAATATCAATAACTTTGATTGAAATTGCAGTCCTGGTCCAATGTAATATTATAATAATCTCACCAAAAATAAATGGAATTGTTGAATTTATTAAGGTGAATACTTTACCTTGCTGCAGGCTTCAATGTGATGGTATATGATAGAGAAACCAGCCACTGGGAACAATGGTTTAGGGATCTCCAGGGACAGGGGACGGAAGCGTGTACCTGTTAATAGAAAAACTTATGTTTAGGGATCTCTGGGGCCAGGGGATAGAAACCTGTACCTGTCCATAAGCAAGTGTATCAGTAAAACTGCTAAATGCTCACCAAAAACGACTTTATTGGACACAAAATTTAAACAAATGGCAATGATTCCATGATTAAGGGGTTGCAGGCACCGAATTTGGTGTACTGCACATTTTCTTAGTATGTCCAATGTATATACAAAGGTCCATGATAATAATTTTAGTGCAAACAAAGCTATGCTAATGACACAAAATTCTGATAATTTATCCCCCAAGTTTTGGTATCCTTGTTTAAATGCAATCAAATTAATGACATGAAATTTTAACAAAGGGCAATAATGCTATCTAATTAAGGGGTTATGAGCCCTGAATTTGGATTACTGCAAATTTTCATAGCGTAATCAATGTATACAAGAAGTTATCTCAGTGCTTAAATGCAAGCCAAGTTATGCTCCAAACACAAAATCTTATCAAAGGGCAATAACTCTGTAATTTAAGGGCAGAAGGCCCTGAATTTGGTACATGAAATTGCCTTTGTACAGGGGTAGAAATAAGAAAATTACTATAGGTGGCCCTTTGGGCCATCTCTTCAGAAGATTTACTGGCCCTTCTGTCATTGCAGTGGCCCTGGGTTTTCTTCGTAATTTAGCCTCTGAAATTTGTTTCCCCATTTTGGAAGATAAGTCCGAGTACAATTTTCTCTTTCGTATTTTCGTTGTTGTGTTAACTTTTCCTCTGGGGTTTTAGGTTTCTTATCGGGCGTGGGCTTGAACCCACTGAGGAAACGTTCCATCATGCTATCAGTAGATCGCCATTGTTGTGCTCCATGTCTTTATAGCGCTTGTAAGTTCTGACATACTCTATACACGGAACAAAACGTAGCAGTGATTAAGACTGTTGGTACCAGCTATGCCGATGAAAAATGTCTTTAGAAACGAGAGTCGGCAATATGCCTTCACCGAACATGACGTCGGTGTCGTTCAGATTTATCGATTTGACTCATTTGGGTATTACTAGCAGAATAGAGGACAAATTTTGAGCTTCAAAAAGTAACAAGCCCGACGGACCAGCGCTTTGCATAATCTGTTGGCCCTTCATTACAATAGATAGCCCCGGGCAGACGGGCTTGCGGTTATTTCGACCCCTGTTTGCATAACCAATGTTTTTACCATGTTTCATGATCTTTGCTTGACTGTGGGCAATGTTTTGGTTTGGACACCAAAGGATGGATGGAAAGATGGATGAACAAATATGGCAGCAACTACAAACTCTTCAAAAAATGTTTCAGGAGCATAAAAAACACTGGTTTAGGGAACCCAAGGGACAGTAGGGTGCAAATATGTACCTGTCAAAATACTGAAACAAAAGTTTAGGGATCTCCAGGGGCAGGGTACAGAAAGGAAAACTATTTTATCAACAGATAAACAAATATTTATGGATCTCCAGGGACTGGGGATGGAAACATGTACCTGTCAACAGAAAAACTACAGTTTAAGGATCTCCAGGAACAAGGAACAGAAACCGCAACAGGAATAGCCTAACTGAACAGTAAGGCTGTTTCAGGTAGTACTGGATGATGCCAGGCTCTTAATAGTAATATATTAACAGGTAATAATCGTTTAATTCACTGCATCCATGGTGGATGTGTTTCTACCACTTATGAACACTTCCGTTCTATCTCTAAAATGAGCATAGTCAATTAAATGTAAATATCAATAACAGCATAATAAATGTGAATATTGACATCACATTATCAGTTTAGAGTCTGTGGCTATGCGGACGGGGACTTGTGCATGTTAATAATAAAGAAAAACAGGTTAGCGACCTCCAAGGTTAGGGAACTGAATCTGGAACCAGCCAATAGAGAAACAAAAGTTTAAATATTTGGTGAAAACATATTTTTCTCAGTTTGGTGAATGAACCTGGAAACAGGAACCGTCGCGTGTCCCGGCCGACCCGACAACGGAATTTTTTAAGCACGTTGTGTCCTGTATCTATTAAGTCTACCGTAATACAGACATCTGCAAGTGAAAGAAAATTACCCTTCATTGGGCCGCCAATCAATATGACTGTCTTCAGCATTTTGTCAATCGTGAACAGTGACAGTATTAAACGTGTCAGTACCAAACCTCCGGAAGTTTATTGTTTGACATTAAAAGTTGAAGCGGAGTCCGTACAACCATATCCGTCAATAGGTATGCGCGTAATGCAAAACACAAAAGGCCGTATAAGTACTGACTAGATCAATAAAAAGTTATAAGAACATAAGAATTAAATGCATATATAGACAGAATAAAAAAAAACGACACAAAACAAAAGAAAATGGCGAAAACCGGTTTGTTCATTAATGTGTACACACAAAACTGGCGTATGCAACCCCTCCCACCCCACTCCCCGCCTTTTCTTCCGTCGTTTACAGGGAAATTTATCACACACACGCACACACACACACACACACACACACACACACACACACACACACACACACACACACACAAACGATATTACATAATATGAACATAATGTAATCGTGCTGGAGTGCGCAAAATCATGATTACATACAAAATATGATGTATGCTTCCGATTTGCCCACTTTTTATAAGACAAAGAACAATGAGAACAATTAAGACAACCAATTACAGTGAGTTGCATAATTATCATACATTTCACCTGAGGCCAAATTATCCTTAATTCTAAAGCTTAGTTACACGATATGATTATAAATGTTTTCACAAAACTGATTAGACAAATGTATTAGAACTAGAGGTTATAAATTTGTCATGAAAAACAGGACGAAATATAGGAGACAGAAGTCAGGAGGAACTGTACTAGGTTATATATATCGCAGCTGAAGCAGTGTTTATGTTTTCGTGAAAAAGAATGTAGCTTTTTCTTATGGTTTGAATTGTCGAAAAATGAACATGATTTAGAGTCATTAAAGAATTGGGATATAACGGCTGAGCATGTTAGTGTCATCCGTGTGGAACAAATCGATGATAGATCGATAATCTAGATAGATTACATCAGATATACATGTAGCAATAGAATTGGAGAATAGAATTGTTGGAATAATATATACAATGTTTGTAGATGCTGCTACTACAGTGCTTGGAAAGATTGTGCCAGGTAAGAGAAAAACTCCACAATTCGCCTATGACGATAAACATGGTTTTTAACAGCAAGTAAACAGACACGGGACCACATAGAAGTAAAAGTTATTTTAACAGGTGTAAAACTGGTACAGTGCGATTAGATATGGTACAGAAAAAATAGACAAAGTGATTTTGAATAACGATTTAAATAAATACAGGAGAAATCTCAAAAAGAATTAAGCAAAATGAAGTAAAAAAAAAAATCCAAAACAATACTGGAAGATGATTAACAGAAAAAAGTAGACAAAACAATATTTCCTCAGAAACCTTGTATTATTTTTTCCTTGACCTCAATAGTTTACCTACTATCAGCTCAGAGATGAAAATGAATTAGAAAATAAAACCGATAGTATTTCTAATCAACAATGAATGTTAAAGTTCAATTCCGGCGGTAAGACGTTGGATATATTCAAGGAATTTAATTATCTTGGAATTTCATTATGTAAGTCTGCAAAATTTCTAAGAGCTACAAGAAAACAAACACTTAAAGGAACCAGAGCCTTGTCTGAGGTGTTAAATGGGAGGATTACATTATCTGATAATACGGTGTCAACTGGATGTGTTTTATAAGATAGTAACACCAGTATTATCACATGGTTGTGAAGTATGAGTTTTTTTTCTGATAATACTTTATCTTAAATTATCTACTCCTGATTTTATGGTATATGGAGAGCTCGGTAAACTTCCGCTCGACATTGAAATTACAACAAGATTGATGACTTTTTGGACAACGTTAATAGAATCTTCAGATAAAATCAATGATTTATTATATAAAGTGTTAGCTATTGTAAATGAAGAAAATTGTGGTTCAATTGTATGGACCGAATGCATAAAAGATATATTGAACAACTGTTGACGTTCCAATATATAGCTAAACAAAAAATAATATAATATTAATCCGAAATGGCTTCTTTCAAAACTAAAACTTACATTAACTGATCAATTCAAACAGACCTAGTCGGAAACATACCAAAACTCTACAAAATCGGCTATTTGTGTAGGGCCTTTAAGGACGAAATTGTTTTTGAAAAATACTTAAATATATATGCTATCAAAAAAGCATGCTTTAACTCTTAAGTAAATTTAGATTAAGAAATGATTATTTACTTGTCGAAATAGGAAGTTGGAGGAATAAACCAAGGGAAGAATGCATCTGCCAAAAATAGCAATAAAAGAGATATTGGTGATGAGTATCATTATATATTTGAATGTTTGGCTTTAGAAAATGAAAGAAGTTGCTTATCATCGAAATTGATTGCTAGACAAAGTGTTTTCGTTAAAAAAAATGTATCTACAAAAAAAGGATCTTACTTTAAAAAAAATTGTGTACCTTCATTAAGAAAATTAATCATTTATGTTCCCCGCAATAATTATTAGTTTAACAAAGCACATTACATCTATGATGCATTCTTCTCTCAGTATAGTCATATAAGCGCACCGTGTTCCTTATACTGTATACATATATATATATATTGTATATTTCTGTATACCATTTGTAAAGGTGTTGAGATATACATGAAATTAAAAAACTTAAATATCTGAGTTCATTTACCTGTATTTTTTCCTTTGTTGTCTGTTACCTGAGATACTGTACCAGAGATGATTTTTAAATGAAGTGATTAAGGTCACATTCCTAGAAATTGTGAAAGGCGTTATTACGCATACATGCAAATAAACCCAATTGGTTTCATAGCAACTGGGCCATATCAGTCCGACTTTCCCTATCGATATCATCGCCCATATTAATCTGACCGACCCTATCGATCTCATCGCCCATATCAATCTGACTAACACTATCGATCTCCTCGACCATATCAATCTGACCAACCCTATCGATCTCCTCGACCATATCAATCTGACCAACCCTATCGATCTCCTCGACCATATCAATCTGACCGACCCTATCGATCTCCCCGACCATATCAATCTGACCAACCCTATCGATCTCCCCGACCATATCAAACTGACCAAGCCTATCGATCTCCCCGACCATATCAATCGGACCAACCCTATCGATCTCCTCGACCATATCAATCGGACCAACCCTATCGATCTCCTCGACCATATCAATCTGACCAACCCTATCGATCTCCCCGACCATATCAATCTGACCAACCCTATCGATCTCCCCGACCATATCAATCTGACCAACCCTATCGATCTCCTCGACCGTATCAATATGACTTGTGGCGGTATGTTATAATTTCACTGCCGTAAAATGAGTTTTACTGGCGACTCACAGTGCAATAATCTTCAGCTGCAAATTTGAAAACTGTACATTTTCACAAATCTAGGCCATATTTCTCCGGATTGTTGATGCTCCCGATTATATCGAGGTATGCTTTGTAACTAATTAACGTTTCGCTACGTTGGTTATTAAATAAGAATTGAATTTATGTATGCAAAGTCTCGCTGTAGCAAGCATAAGATATAAAGCATGATAAATTGAAAAAAAAACCACCAAAAAACAAAATAGATCCTCGACTTTTTACACGATTTTTATACTTTGTACATGATTCGAACCACCAATACTTACTATAACCTTGATAGTACCCATTACACCAAGTCTATCGGGTTCATAATGTGTGAAACATGAAATTAGTCAAACTCATTTGCTCACGTTCATGTTTTCACTGACCGTATCAGTGACTCTGTGAAAATATTTCTCACGTTTTACTTCGATTATTTCAAACGAACATAATTATTTATCATGTATAACTCTTTACTGAGAGTTCGTCCGCCTGCTGCAATTTGTTCGAGTAAATGGACAATAAACTTGGCATAACGTTTCCAAACTCTCCTCTTGGTTAAGATCTACTGAAAGTTCATTTTTCTTCTCACAAATGTATCTGCAGGCGTACCGTGTATTCTGAACATCCAGCATCTGGATTTGTATGGTAACCGAAAAAGACAAACAAAAATATCTGATTACATTAGTCAAGGGTGCGTGGGCGGGAAGTCCTGTCTAACCGAACACAGACACCTGTCCGTGTCACCACCGTCGGATGTTTACCTGTTGCACGTGCGCCAGTTGCGTCACATGCAAGACATGTAGCGGACTTCCCCGTGAACTCGTTTACCTAGGACAAATATACTTACAAATGGCGAAGGCAAACACTTTCTGTAGTTGTGTTCACAACACTAGGTGCAGAGTTCTCACCCTATTTGCCAGTCTAGGCATAGGTTTGCTAGTTATAGAACTCGTTTCTCAAGACGTGGGATTGGCAGGTCAAGATATTTCTACCGCAGGTCCCACATGTAAGTAAACAAAAGCCCTGTTTTAAATTTGTTTATTAGAATATACATGTTTACTATTCCCGTGTTTACTTTGTAATGTTTTGCAAACTTATTGAGGGTAATTATAAATATCATCTTAACGATATGCAAATTGTCTTGTTAGGGATTAATTGAGTTAATCATTTACTCTATAATTTTGCATCAAAATAAAATGCAGTATGTTTGTATATTGTTTATAAACATCCATGTGCATGCATTTTTATCTAAAAATGTGAAATGTAGCCACGGACTTAGATATACTGAAGTCTGTAATATAGTCATGAATACCTATTATACATGTAACAGCAACACGTCCGACCTGCTATATCAGTGTAGACAAAAAATAACACTCGCCATTCTTTATTCAGATAACTGTAATTGGAAGAAATCTTATCATCCTGTATAAAGACACGCCAAGTCAACTATGTATAAATATATATAATTTTGCAAATTTTGAAATATTAATTTTGACATGTAGCCCGAACAACAATGTTAACGCCGGGGAATTAATTTTCAAAAAATTCAATTTCGGCGCCGTTAGTACATTTTGTGAGGAGAATGTGTAATAGTAGCTTCATAGTGAAAGTCAAGCAATAGTATATTGAATTGACAACGTTTGAATGAAGACATGATGTGTTTAGACAAAAATGTGTTGTATGGAAGTTTACAATGTATCTTTGTTTGAAACACAGGCATATTTTTGTACATTGTAATCTGAAATCCAGGTAAAAAAAACACCTTATATGAACGATGTATAATTCACCTGCCATTGTTTAAAAAAAAACAACACCTTGCTATTGCCTAAAAAATGTTGGCGTTTAGTAAACTGCCCCCACCCCACCCAAACAGACCAGAGGAATTACATCAGAGAGAATGTCTTGTTTGAAACGACTGACAATTAATTCTGAATCATTTCTTTATTTATACTTCAAACTTGTATATAAGAGAGAAACGTCGCTGTTCCGTATTTCGTATGGTTTTTAAGGTTGACAGTATCCGAAGTAGTAAAGGTTGATAATATCCGGAGTAGTAAAGGTTGATAATATCCAAAGTAGTAAAGATTGGTAGTATCCGGAGTAGTAAAGGTTGATAATATCCGGACTAGTAAAGGTTGATAGTATCCGGACTAGTAAAGGTTAATAATATCCGGACTAGTAAAGGTTGATAATATCCAAAGTAGTAAAGGTTGATAGTATCCGGACTAGTAAAGGTTGATAGTATCCGGACTAGTAAAGGTTGATAGTATCCGGATTAGTAAAGGTTGGTAATATCCGGACTAGTAAAGGTTGATAGTATCCGGAGTAGTAAAGGTTGATAGTATCCGGACTAGTAAAGGTTGATGGTATCCGGACTAGTAAAGATTGATGGTATCCGTACTAGTAAAGGTTGATGGTATCCGGACTAGTAAAGGTTGATAGTATCCGGAGTAGTAAAGGTTGATAGTATCCAGAAGAGTAAAGGTTGATAGTATCCGGAGTAGTAAAGGTTGGTGGTATCCGGAATAGTAAAGGTTTGTAGTATCCAGAAGAGTTAAGGTTGGTAGTATCCAGAAGTGTTAAGGTTGATAGTATCCGGAAGAGTAAAGGTTGATAGTATCCGGAGAAGTAAAGGTTGATAGTATCCGGATTAGTAAAGGTTGGTAGTATCCAGAAGAGTTAAGGTTGATAGAATCCGGAGAAGTAAAGGTTGATAGTATCCGGAAGAGTAAAGGTTGATCGTAACCGGAAGCTCTAGATTTGTGACGACAGACCTTGTGTCCCAAGTTTTGAGAGAACTTGTTTGAAACTCTTTAGTTAGTTGTGCCTTTAATACAATTTAACGATCCTTTCTTTCACATTTCAATATTTTCATTAATTTTGATACAAGAATTTGTCGTTTTATATAAGGTTCCTCTGTACTGCTAGTGTTGATGATGTTTTGTATTTAGTTTCAGGATCCTTACGGTCAGGCGTTGTAACACTGACAGAACCTGCCATATTTTCCATTCGTGATCAGCTCATTCTAAGATGCGAAGACGGAAACTCGACGCTGTATATGACCTCTACAGAATACGACCAGATTCCAACGGTAGAGTTCGAGGACAATTGTTTTTCTCGTGCAGTTAGAAACTACTGTCCAGAAACCAACGGTAGAAGAGTTCCGAATATTGCACATTACGTTTGGTTTGGTATAAAGAACATGACTTTTTATCAGCTCGTGAGTTTCATCAGCGTACACAGATTCCAGAATCCATGTATGATACTTGTTCACGGAGATGTCATCCCCGCAGGGCCATACTGGAAGTACTTGATTCGTCGTGTACCTACTATAATTCACGTTCACATGACGCCACCACACCGAGTCAGAAACGGAAAAGTTCTTGGTAGCATGACCCACAAATCGAATATAGCTAGACTGATGGTGCTGAAAGGTAATGTGTACATTTTGTGTGGAAGAATTTTTCCCACAGTGTCCTATAATTGATATGATGCTTTAGTAACAGAACATTCCATATGATATCAGCACCAACACACGTCCAACACGAAGGACAATTCCTATCAATTACCGGTTACTCAAACTTTTGCGAGTGAAGTGCTAACGAAATGAAAATTAAGTTCATCTGAAGTTTAAATCGATATAAACATTTCTTATCAATAGTTTGGAGTACCGTTGACGTATCCGCGATGAAGTCAATCATATATCGCTACCCCAGTAGAGAGCTTGCATACATTGTCTAAATTGATTAAAGGATATAATTCGGTCCGAATACAAATGTGAATTCACTAAAATCAATGATACCTCAGATCGAATTTGGTTAGTATCCCTTCACCACTACTGAAGAAGAAGGATTTTAGATATTACTTAAATGTTGTGTGGATCTGATCCCAGAAGGTTCAGAGCTCCTTTTATACAAAATTGAGAACATTTCTTTTAAAAATGCATTCAGTCCTTATTGATAGTATGAAAAAGGTAACTGACGGACGTCGACGATGGCAAAAGCGCACAGATCATAAGACAAGGTCATCTAAACAATCTTATCCTAAAGGCGCATCCCTAAGTATTTGGATACTTTTAATTGTACGGAAGAGAAAAGAGTTATCATATAAACTATGATAATAAACCAACATCGTCCTGTAAGATTAATTATTTTTGTGGGGATTAATTTTCAATGATTCCGTGTGTTCTCCTAATCCACGAATTCATATGTCCACGAACTGTTAAGATATTTATCCACGAAATCAAGTGTCCACGAAACATTTTTTCAAGCCTACGAAAATTGAGCTCCTGCAAGATATATGATTTTACAGTAATTCGAAACCGACATCAAAATTGGATAGCGAAGTATAAACAAAAAACAAAGAAAATCACGAAGACGAGAATTTCACTATACCAACATTAATTGATATTTTTCAGAATACGGCGGTGTATACCTGGACCTTGACACAATCCTGCTCCGCTCTCTAGTTCCGTTGATGAACTACCCGGTCACCATGAGCCTGGAATATGAGTCGAACCTTTGGAATGGCTTGATTGTAGCTGAACGAGATCCTGTGTTCATACGTCAGTGGATTACCCTTTTTCATGACCTCTACTATTTTGATCCGAATAAGTACTTTGAATTTTCTTTGTTCTTGCCAACTAGGATTGCAAAAGCACATCCATCTTGGATACACATTGAAAACATGACATTCTGCACGCCTAATGGAATGAACTTGAACAAAATCTTCAAGGAGAATTATGACTGGAAACAGAACTATGCCATGCATTTGTACATACGATATTACAAGGAAAATGATGACGTCATAACTGTGCGAAGGTTTAACTCAACAATCGGTGCGCTTGCGCGCTTTGTTTTGTACGATACAAAGGCACTACTGACAAATTAATCATGTTTATTAGAAAATGGAAGATAACACTGTCTACGTAATATACACCGACCTCTGACTTACTGGAGGGAAAATCAATCTATTTTTGTTTTATACAGCGAAAGCGAAGATCGGGGTAGTGGTGTGGCACATTGTTTAGGTCTATCTAAATGTTGTACTGCTTTTTACACCATTGTATATGACCACACGTGGTATTCTTTCAAACCATTCAGAATTCCACTGCTGTTGGAGCTTCGAGTGTCTTAAACTGGAAACAATTCTTATGCCGTCTTGAAATTGAGTATTAATCTTCCTAATTAGTCCTAATTTGTATTGTCATAATTTGGAGCAAATTAGACTTGATCATAGCCGCCATTTTGAACAAATTGTTATTGCATCATCTTATGAATGGAGAATGATATTGAGGAAGCAGGATGCATATTTTCATGAAATTTGTGAAAGGAACTGTGATTTTCTCTACTGATTTCATTTTCAAGGGAGGTATTTTTCGAACCGATTCCGAAATAATGATAACAATTACCCTGGACAACAGCGAGATGTATACCTTAGAATGATTATATATGGTATTGATTTGCCTTCTGAATACAACATTTGAATAATTAAGACTGTCGACTTCACACTTTTTTTGCAACTGAGAGGTGACCTGATCATATCTAGATAAGTCGTCACTGCATGCATTAAATGACGTTCACGTGTATGTTAATATAAGTAGTTTTACTGTAAGTGGACCTAACTTAGCGGTAATCCTAGCACTTTTCCAGCTTTAAATATTGCGATAAAATATCATTACACCGATTGCAATTTCTGAATGTTATTAACACAAAAATGATAGTGAATATGTTTAGTCATTATTACAATAATTCATCAAAAAGTGGCAATACCCTATAATTTGGTTGTGACAAATGAAGTACGGTTTTAACTTTCGTGATTTAAAATTAACGTTAACTACATTTATTTATTTTGTCACGTGTGAATTGCTTTCGCAAATTCGGTAATGAAAAAATGTCGATTTATTTGATAACAGTTTCCATTACTCCTTCGTGGTAATACATGTTGTCACTATAGTTACTTCGGACAGTTATTCTGAATCCCATTTACTCAGAGAAGTAAATACATACATCACTGGAGTAATTTACATCCATCGTAATTATTTATCAGTAACACGTGGCTAAATACCTTCTCCGAGATCTAGAAGCTATAACTAGTTTATTGATACTGCAATGAAGAGGTAAACAAGGCAACATCCAGCCGTTTTGTTTCGCGCACCTCTGTCCACATAAACCTCTTTGTGCCAGGGATCTGCTAGATCGATAACGTGTAATTCTATAGAAAGGTAAACGAATTGAAATTCGGAGTAAGTTGGCTAATAATGTACAATCGTGGGCTCGCACAACGTTACGTGATGCATGCACAATAAAAACCTGGCTGAAATAAGCTATCGCCCATTTGTGCGCATGTTGTGCGGTTGTATCATGGTTGATATAATTTTAGAAATGACATATAGATCACCTTAAGATAAAATCACCAAAAACACATAACTGAATTTCTGTGAATTTCAACAAGTCTTACTTTGTCAAACGGTGGAGGATATCTTTTGTACATGTAAATTTATATCACACGATCTTATTACCAACCTACAGGGTGAGTGTACACAGTTTTTATGTTCTGTTCGGTTGATGCAATGTATCATTCAAATGTAAAGGTATAAATAAACAACATTTCCGTTTACTTGCTGGATTTATCGTCTAGTCAACAGCCAGGGCCATTTTGAGGCGGAGCATCCTTGTAGAAGCTGGTGGCTTCGTCACTAAACAACACATGGGAGGCCCGTCGCATGCCACACAGATTTATTTATTTTATACCTTGATCTACACCGCGCAGGCACAGACAATGTCTTTGTGTATGGACAACATTCAATTTTGGACCGCAAAGAGCTCAGTTCAGACTGGAGTTTTAATCCGGACTATTTTTCTGTAATGCTATATATTGTGTCTTTATGCCGGCCCTTCAAAATGCTGGAAGGTTTGTCATGATAGACTTTGACCTCAAAATTGAACATGTACTTCGTCTTCTTTAAACGGAAAGAGAATGTTAACTAGCATCACACACTTGTTGATTATGATCAAGTCTTTTAACTATGTATACACTGTACTTTAAAATTTCTTTGATTTCAAAAGAAGTTTAAATCTGCCAAAATCATTTAAAACATTATTAGAACACAAGAAGACCATCATCACAGGAATATTTCAATTACTGTGACCAACACACTCGTGTGTCTCATTATTATGGTCGTGTTGTTGTACCAACGTACTAGTCAAACATCTATTGTAATAACGTGAGCTTTATTTTGTAATGTCTATTATAATGTAACTGTAACAATAGGTACGTAGTTACACTTCCTGCTGATAGGGGTGTCCTTTGGAACGCCATAGCTGTCTAATGTGGTTTGATAAAAATATAAGATGCTGCTTTCTTATATACTGTGGTTCTGTTATTATATGATGTGATCCTGTTATTATATGTTGTGGTCCTGTTATTATATGCTGTGGTCCAGTTATAATACGTTGTGGTTCTGTTATTATATGTTGTGGTTCTGTTATTATATGCAGTGGTTCTGTTATTATATGCTGTGGTTCTGTTATTATATACTGTGGTTCTGTTATTATATGCTGTGGTTCTGTTATTATATGATGTGGTTCTGTTATTATATGCTGTGGTTTATTATTATATACTGTGGTTCTGCTATTATATGATGTGGTTCTGTTATTATATGCTGTGGTTCTGTTATTATATGCTGTGGTTCTGTTATTATGTACTGTGGTTTTGTTATTATATGATGTGGTTCTGTTATTATATGCTGTGGTTCTGTTATTATATACTGTGGTTCTGTTATTATATGTTGTGGTCCTTTTTTATATACTGTGGTTCTGTTATTATATGCTGTGGTTCTGTTATGATATGCTGTGGTTCTGTTATTATATACTGTGGTTCTGTTATTATATGATGTGGTTCTGTTATTATATGCTGTGGTTCTGTTAATATATACTGTGGTTCTGTTATTATATGCTGTGGTTCTGTTATCATATGTTGTGGTTCATTTATTATATGCTGTGGTTCTGTTATTATATGCTGTGGTTCTGTTATTATGTACTGTGGTTTTGTTATTATATGATGTGGTTCTGTTATTATATGCTGTGGTTCTGTTATTATATACTGTGGTTCTGTTATTATATGTTGTGGTCCTTTTTTATATACTGTGGTTCTGTTATTATATGCTGTGGTTCTGTTATGATATGCTGTGGTTCTGTTATTATATACTGTGGTTCTGTTATTATATGATGTGGTTCTGTTATTATATGCTGTGGTTCTGTTAATATATACTGTGGTTCTGTTATTATATGCTGTGGTCCTGTTATAATATGTTGTGGTCCTGTTATTATATGTTGTTATTCTGTTGTTATATGCTGTGGTTCTGTTATCATATGTTGTGGTCCTGTTATTATATGTTGTTGTTGTGGTCCTGTTATTATATGTTGTTATTCTGTTATTATATGTTGTGGTCCTTTTTTATATGCTGTGGTTCTGTTATTATATGTTGTGTTCATTTATTATATGATGTGGTTCTGTTATTATATGCTGTGGTTTATTATTATATACTGTGGTTCTGCTATTATATGATGTGGTTCTGTTATTATATGCTGTGGTTCTGTTATTATATGCTGTGGTTCTGTTATTATGTACTGTGGTTTTGTTATTATATGATGTGGTTCTGTTATTATATGCTGTGGTTCTGTTATTATATACTGTGGTCCTGTTATTATATACTGTGGTCCTGTTATTATATGATGTGGTTCTGTTATTATATGCTGTGGTTCTGTTATTATATGCTGTGGTTCTGTTATTATATACTGTGGTCCTGTTATTATATGTTGTGGTTCTGTTATTATATGCTGTGGTTCTGTTATTATATACTGTGGTTCTGTTATTATATGCTGTGGTCCTGTTATAATATGTTGTGGTTCTGTTATCATATGTTGTGGTTCTGTTATTATATGCTGTGGTTCTGTTATTATATGCTGTGGTTCTGTTATTATGTACTGTGGTTTTGTTATTATATGATGTGGTTCTGTTATTATATGCTGTGGTTCTGTTATTATATACTGTGGTTCTGTTATTATATGTTGTGGTCCTTTTTTATATACTGTGGTTCTGTTATTATATGCTGTGGTTCTGTTATGATATGCTGTGGTTCTGTTATTATATGATGTGGTTCTGTTATTATATGCTGTGGTTCTGTTAATATATACTGTGGTTCTGTTATTATATGCTGTGGTCCTGTTATAATATGTTGTGGTTCTGTTATCATATGTTGTGGTTCTGTTATTATATGCTGTGGTTCTGTTATCATATGTTGTGGTTCTGTTATCATATGTGGTGGTTCTGTTATTATATGCTGTGGTTCTGTTATAATACGCTGTGGTTCTGTTATTATATGTTGTGGTCCTTTTTTATATGCTGTGGTTCTGTTATTATATGTTGTGTTCATTTATTATATGCTGTGGTTCTGTTATTATATGCTGTGGTTCTGTTATTATATGCTGTGGTTCTGTTATCATATGCTGTGGTTCTGTTATTTCATGCTGTGGTTCTGTTATTATATGCTGTGGTTCTGTTATTATATGCTGTGGTTTATTATTATATATTGTGGTTCTGTTATTATATGATATGGTTCTGTTATTATATATTGTGGTTCTGTTATTATATGATGTGGTTCTGTTATTATATGATGTGATCCTGTTATTATATACTGTGGTTCTGTTATTATATGCTGTGATCCTGTTATTATATACTGTGGTTCTGTTATATGTTGTGGTTCTGTTATTATATGCTGTGGTTCTGTTATTATATACTGTGGTCCTGTTATTATATACTGTGGTTCTGTTATTATATACTGTGGTCCTGTTATTATATACTGTGGTTCTGTTATTATATGATGTGGTTCTGTTATTATATACTGTGGTTCTGTTATTATATGATGTGATCCTGTTATTATATATTGTAGTTCTGTTATCATATACTGTGGTTCTGGTATTATATGCTGTGGTTTATTATTATATACTGTGGTTCTGTTATTATATGCTGTGGTTCTGTTATTATATGCTGTGGTTCTGTTATCATATGCTGTGGTTCTTTATCATATGTTGTGGTTCTGTTATTATATGATGTGATCCTGTTATTATATGTTGTGGTTCTGTTATTATATGATGTGGTTCTGTTATTATATGCTGTGGTTCTGTTATTATATACTGTGGTTCTGTTATCATATATTGTGGTTCTGTTATTATATACGGTGGTTCTGTTATTATATGCTGTGGTTCCACCATTACATGTTGTGGGTTGATTATTATATGCTGCTGATATTTTTTATGAGGTATGTTATTATATGGTGGTTGGGAATTAGCAACACTAGATCACAGCTACCATATTCCTGACTGTGGGGAAAATGTTGAAGTACAGATAGTAAAAGTGAAAACAGGTATTTATGAATTATAATGCTTTCAATCAAGTCAATCTAAACTTTCTTTTTAGATGAGTAGCAAAGAATGGAGTTTTTAGTGCAAATTTATAGCGAGCGCTTTAAGGTATTGTGTGTGTGGTTATTCAACTCCCAACGAACTGCCCATGCGATCAACTTTAAACAGAAGTGTGGCTGGAACTTCATTACCCACAATACACTTACCGCAGCACGCAATGAGAATTGCCGACCCGTTGAATGGATTAAAATGATTTTGACAGACAAATTGTTGTTTCAAGCTCTCATGTGGAAATGAAATAATACTAAAAGTCTTAAATAATTCAAATGGATTTAACAAATATATACTTTAATGGTTTTAAACGCATATAACGAATATCTCGTTGAAAAATTACAGTTTTAACCATTCAAGATATGGGCACGATTGTGCATCAATGTACCTGATTTCCGGTTTGACCGCCGGGAACTTTCGTCACTTTCCGTATGACATCATCTCTTACACGAAAGCAGCCGAAAGGTACCGATTTGGCGAAAACTCTGTCCTGTCTCCTAATAATGCTAATTCTGCAAGATGTGGATATTCTTTCGATAAATGTTTGAAATTATTTATGATCAAGTATATGAATGTTTAGAAATTTTCCAGCAGACACTTATAAGGCACGATGATAAGATAACTATTAGTGGTGAGGTTTTTTTTGTTGGTTTTTTTTTTTTCGGAAAAATGCATTTTATGTGATATATTGTGACTTTTGAATTTCATTTAAACATTTACATTTATATTGATTTTCTGAATTACAATGTATAACACAATAGTCTCAACAGTGTTTATAACTTCACCCTCTTTTTTCCATCATGACAAGTCAACATTGCTTAAAAAACTGAAGGTTCTAAAGTATTTTATGATTTGTTAATTAACAGATCGAAAACTTCAATAGCAAAGAGAAAAGAAAACGATGGTAGAGAAAATTCTGTTGTTAATAAATGAAAATTTGTTAAATATATAACCACCACGGTCACAAATCAAACTAAAACTACCGGTATATCGTATTTCACAATATTTTGACTACAAACTCTATTTTTTAAGGCAAAATCGATATATAGTCCTCTCTACAATATCTGTAACTCTGAAAGGGAAACTCTTGTACATTTATTTTGAAAACTTTTTTTATCAATTTTTAAGTCGAGATATGTTGTCAAAGACTTTATTAGTACATTTACTGTTGCCATTGAAACCGATGACCCTCATCACGAATTTCAGTTTTTCTGGGCCAATGCTCTGAAACAATTTACGATAATTGCTCAAAATATTTTACATTTACCGGTATTAGTCTTGTAGTATTTTTTGCTAATGGGGAAGTTCACCATTTAAATAGTTTCTGTTACCATGGAAACAGATAGGCCAAATCACAAAGTTAAGTTTTTTTTCATGCCAGTTCTCTTAAACCATTCAAGGTAATCACCTGTTACTCAAAACTTTGTACAGGCATCAAGCTAGTACTTTAGCAGAAGTTCTCAATTTCAATACTTTGTATGGAATTATTTGAATCGAACCAAGGACGGGTAGGTGAAAGACAAGTGTGTTACAACTGTGCCACCAAATCATCGACTGATCATGTTGATACATTGTTTTCTAGAAGATCAACAAGATGTGATGATGATGATGATGATGATGATGATGATGATGATGATGATGATGATGATGATGATGATGATATATTGGTACATTTGTATGTGCAGATGTTTTGTTAAAATCTTGCGAAATGAACTATTTTAAAAACACATTCAGGATCAGGCTGTTCAAAATGTGAATCTTGTTGACCGACTTGAGCTCGCTTTTAGGCAGTGACTATTTCATATTATGTACCAAGAATATTAAGCCAATGATTTTTTTTTCGAAGTTCAAGACTTAGAAGAGGTGATTGCTTGAAGTACGAAATCGAAAGTGCCATTGTTGTGATTTCCTTTTTAAAATCAACCCTTAGTCATCATTGAAGATTTTGCTAACGATCGTTATCATCATTCACCTGTCTATAAATGCAATTTCAATCACGTTCCCTTCTCACCTCCGAGCACGGCTGGAAATAAATGAATGAAACTCAAAATAGTAATGAATTCTAATGCTTCAATATTCAGGCCATGGGAGCAGCCATTTGTAATCAAAAACACGGAGATGAGAATCTCGCGATAACTTAGTTTCGTATCATGTATTGGTGAATAAAACCTGTTATATTTTGTAAGATTTTAATTGGCACACATAAGTGATTATATAAGAATTACTGTGTTAGAAAATGAAAGCTATATTCGTCCTGCTTAAAATTATTACGAAACTAAATCCAGAAGTCTATCCTCGCGAACTATTGACATTGGTGCTGACATTGGGGCACATTGCTCCTAGGTTATAATGTATCGTCCTCCTCAAATTGCCCGCATTTTCCTTCGGTGTAGTCAGTCCAACAGACATGTGGTCAGATGCATCAGTACCCGAGGAAGCAAGCTTCAAACCTGGCACAGGATAAGGTACGAAAATACACATGCCGGTACCGGTAACCCCCTTTGACCATTGTAACAAAATAGAGTTCAAATATACTTGTCACAAGGCAAAGAAAACAACTAGTTGTTCTGCTCCTTGTAATTTTTTATGAACCGGCGGACGCACATGGGAGAAACCCCTAAAAGCAAACACACGACCTTATAAGAATACCTATTAGATGCGTATTCTGTATGACAATAAATGGAAATATTTGGACCGGTATGGAATAATTAAACAATTATGATTCACAATTCCGCAACTATTAATTAAATGTATAATACAGTTAAACGTTAGTTTAATTACCTTCCAAGACCTGTACAATGTCTGGTAAAATGTGTCAAAGCCCAGTTGTCTTTTCAATATACTGCACCAAGACTCAGAGGACTCCCGAGGATACGTCCCCACCATGGCCGACTGCGACGAATGCGCAGTTGTAAAACGGTTTTGTTTAATCAACTTTCACACTCGCATGCTTTCTCCACAACTTACACCCTAATTAACACATAACTAAATAACAACACCAAATATGGACAAGACAGGACGTGCACACAGGACCAACGTGGCACAGGCACAACACGTGAATATACTAAAAATGGAAACAGATGTTTTCCCGTTTCACAACATATAACAATACACAACTCGAAATGAATATATATGTACCTGTCACATATTGTTACAAAAGGTGGTTTCGATATTAGTGTAAACCAGATACATAAGTAGAGTAATCTTTGACTGACTCATGTAGGATTAATTTTATCAATATGTAATATCTAGTGGACTGGTTGTGAATTATGAATGCACACCGTTCTCTGTAATTGTATTTACAGTGGAAAGTTTTGCTATCTACTAATCATGTTAGTCTATACTATTGGCAAACTTAGCTATCTTTCGGAAGGCGGTCTGCCTTTGAAAATGCCCGTTACGCCGAAGACAATACTGAAACGTGAAATTCTCCTGGTTAACATGTATTAGACAGTTTAATCAGCCAAGGTCCAACTAATGGGGCATTGGATCATGGCATTGCCATGACAAGACCTGATGGGTTAGGGATAAAAAGCAGGGGAGATTTGGGGCTGGGGGGAGAAAGCTCACTAGCCCTATAGACAGAGGGGTGAGAGGGATAGCTCACTAGCCATATGGACAGACAGGTTACACCATGATGAACACTATGAGCAGTGGGTATTTCAGTATATAACTTGAAAGTACTGTTTGTATACAGGGACAGATCTGACGCGAAGTGAAGTATGAGTATATAAACTCTGTATGCTGTTGAGATGTTGCTTTTGTACATGCAACATTATTATTATTCAACATGTAATAAACATGGCTATTGCCAACAATTAGTGTGTTTACGCCTACTGTGTTATACCATTCCTTTCAAACTGATCATGACTATCTTCTCCAGATTTTGAGTTTTGGAAATATTTGGCGACGTTCATTGTACTTGCTGAAATAATGATGATGTTTGAAAATGATCTTATCAAATTCACAAACAAGGACTATAAGCTGGTTTCTCAAAAATTTTATTCCACATGTCATATTTTTAAATCAGGTTGTTTCATATAGACTGTATTATATGTCCCAGTATAAATGTATAATATAAAAGCCTCACAGCTATCAGAGTGATCTGGTCTTGCCATAATTCTAAGGTCGTCTGTCAGTACATGTATACAAATGTTTTCATTTCAAAACATTTTATTAATACAAAGTATTAATAGGATTAGACAGCAGGCTAGTGCCTATATAAGTCTTCTCCAAATGTTTTGATGTGGAGAACAGTCAGTGATCAGTGAATGGTCAGTCCACAGTCATATGTTCACATAAATTTAACGTACATACTCAACAGAACAAGCAGAACACTATGTACATGAAACTCCAATTACAAGTGCATGATGTGTACAAAGACTTACAGTGACAGGACAGATACAGTATACATCCATGTATAGAAAGAGAGAGTGACATACGCTAGTACAATGATATAATCTTAATTTTATGATCCTTATATACATGTATAGTACAGTATGATGAATATGGATAAAAGTGACAAAAAATTGCAGATACTTTTATAACTCACTATCATAACAATAATACATAATAGATATTCTGACAGGAGAGTAAAAGCCAAGTAGTATATTGTAGCCAAAGTAGGCTATAGTTTAAATTCTGAATATCTGCTTTATACATTTCTATCTAATGCATGTAATATCTAGTACATGTTATCCTATAAACAGTGAGAGATATCAACCAGTGCCAGGATCATCATTCAGATGATTAATGTGCCAAGGAACCATAATTTTTACAGCATGCCACAAACAGATTGGAGCTTTCTTTATCTGTAAGATTGTCTCATAACACCTATATTTGTTGAATGTACATTTTTTCCACTTACTCTTCTTTAGCTTATGTTTGTGTTAGTCATACCTCTTCAAGTCACATGTCTAAACTCTTTGCATATGTGCAGGAGTTCAGACAACAACGAACCAAATGTTTTGCTGTCTCTCTCAGTCTCCACTTCATTTTTGTGCCTTTTGTGTATTTGATGAAGTCATCAATATTGTGACTACATATTAATTATAATCCGTTTCAGATTATAAAGTAGCAGAATTGATCAGAGGACATATTTATAGATGAAATAAAGCTGAGAATGTATGTTTTTGACTGGTATATTTTTGTAATGATACATGTCATAACTTTAAAATTTAAGAAAAAAATTATTGCTGTAACCTCTTTTCCTAAAACTTTCATAACGTCTTTGTGAAATATTCTTTTCTTCAGAAAAGTCACTGATGAAGTGAGCACAAGACATCAGCAGTTGTTTCGTCAGAAGCCAGTATGTTCTCTACAGCGGTATTACAGTGCAGATCTGCCAACACATTACAAGATAGCACTTCCGGCCCTTTCTCCCACAATGGAGGCTGGTACCATTGTAAACTGGCAGAAGTCAGAAGGTGATCGTGTGGTGGAGGGTGACCTTCTGGCAGAGATTGAGACAGATAAAGCCACTATGGGGTTTGAATCTGTTGAGGAGGGTTACCTTGCAAGAATCTTCATTCCTGCTGGAACAAAGGACATTCCCGTGGGCAAAGTAAGGACCAACACACTGACTTTTACCTTACTTAACTGTTTAGAAGTTTACATAAGTAATTGATATGTTAGATATCATATGTTATATCCTAAATATTCCCCTAAAAATATCTAGATTATGTGAATTTCATGTTTGCTTGTTAGTCTTTGTTCTCTATACAGGTTAATAATGTAACTGTATCCATTTGATTTCAATGCCAATAAGCTATCTTTAAGAATCTATATTCATTGTTTATCAACTCAATATGACCTGTCCATGTTTACATGTAGACAACCACTCTAACCCTTCATAACTGTTGTATTTAGTGTGAAGAGTTATTAATTATCAGCTTTTCCCTTCAACAGTTGCTGTGTATTATTGTGGAGGAAGAAGCAGATATTGCTGCTTTCGCTGATTATGTAGAGACTGCGGAAGACAAACCACCATCTACAGAAGCAGCTGCCCCTCCCCCTGCCCCAACTCCAACACCAGCAGCGCCTCCTCCACCACCAGCAGCAGCCCCTGTCATAGCTCCTCCTACTCCAGCCCCTATGGCTGCCCCTACTCCTGCTGTTGTAGCTGCCCCTGGGGGTAAGGTGCAAGCCTCACCTCTAGCCAGGGAACTTGCAAGACAGAAAGGCATTGACCTTACAGTAAGAGACCTTGATATCTGTAAACAAGATTTTAGGTTGTTTCCATTGTAATGGAGCTTTGAAGTTTTTATAAGATTTATCCTTAAAATGAAGTATAGCAATCCTCTTTCAGCAGATATTTGCTGAATCAAGTATTGTTTCTAGAATAATGATAGATTTTGATCAAATGTTATCTTCCATTTTCCCAGTTTGTTGATGCACAGCATATCTTTGATTCTTGACTTTAGAATGAGATATTTTTCCTGTTCTAGTTTTGGAATTTTTTATAAGGTTTTATATTGTTTTATAATAGAAACTAGTTTTAATACTGGTATGAAATGGCAGATTGCTGACTCCGTAAGTGTCTTCAAGCTGATTTAAATTCTTCATTCAACAGCAAGTAAAGGGATCTGGGGCTGATGGTGAAGTTCGTGCAGATGATGTTAGGAACTTTGTCCCTGGAGGAGCAGTTGTGGCCCCCACAGCTCTAACAGCTGTTCCTGGTGCAGCTTACATTGACATCCCTCTTTCTGCCATGAGACAGGTACTTATACATCAGTTGATGATAATCTGATGTGTAAAGGTAATCATAGAACATATACATGTATATCAAGGGCTATAAACTCCTAGCTTTGTCTTATGGTAGAGGAGAGGGGATTAGGATAAAACAACGGCGACCTCTGTTTTTATGCTAAGAGCATTTTCAATGCTCTTCAGCATGTTGTTCAGATTGTGATAATTATTTCTCCACTTGAAAAGGGACACTTTATGTTGTGCCTTACAAATTTATAAACTTCACCAATGTATGACCTGTCATATCTTTATTCTTTGGTTTTCTATTTGATAATACTGGTTGCACTTGTAAAAGATAGAAACCATTAACAATTTGACTGGTTGAATTGAATACTCATTCATTTTATCTTAATTATCACAGTTTGTGTTTGGTTTTCCCCCAGAAAAGGTGTTCCCTAGAAATTAAAAAGGGTCCTTCTGTATAGTTTGATAAGAAATTCCTGAAAATAACTCGGGTTCCTTTTTAATTGCTATGCTTCATGGGGACAACTTAATTTGATTATGTATATTCGTCTCCTACAGACCATAGCCAAACGATTATTGCAGTCCAAGCAGACGATTCCGCACTATTATCTTACTGTAGATCTGAATGTTGACAGTGTTTTAAGGTAAGTTCTACAAATCTTTGTAGTGTAAGTGGTCAAAGTTCAAAAACCGCAGATGCAAAGGGGTGGGGTGGGGGGTTATTTTCATTGATTTTTTGGGTACTTTTAATCCAAGAATTCATATTTACATGTCCTGTAAAAATTAGTGTAAGTAGTTTTATTAAGCTATATGTATCCACAAGGTCAAGTGTCCTCCAAAAATGGTAATTATTTGAAGAGTCATGAAAATTGAGCCCCTTAAAAATGTACAATTTTACAGTATGTATTTTTTGAACTTTTTTGTAAGTCTTGTTATTGACAGAGCAAACATTAAGCATCAGATTTGTCAGTTTTTAGGTAACTATGTGTACTTTTTTCTAGATTAAGACGAGATTTGAATGAAGTTTTGGCAAAAGACAACATAAAACTATCTGTTAATGACTTCATCATCAAGGCTTCTGCACTGTCATGTCGCAAGGTTCCTGAGGCGAACTCCTCCTGGATGGATAACCACATTCGACAGTAAGTCCTACAAATCATCACAGGCTTACTAGACTGCATTGAAGTCTATGTTCTGTCAAACAAACTGGTTCATTATTGTTTTTAATTTTTGATAAGTGCCAGTCTTTCATGATATATCAGGCATATATCATGAAAGACTGGCACATATTAAAAATGTTTTTTCCTTTCTGTGGTTGCTCATTATCAGAAGTGATATTTTTATGTATAAGGATAATTATTTATATGTAAAGTTCTAATACTTAATTGATAAAGTTTAATTTTGATCCTTTGCACAGTTAAAGTTGTTATTAAATATTTATAACATTTTGAAAAACATAACATTTTATGTGTGTTTTTTTTCTCCTGCTTCTTAATGGTGAAAATACAGCATAGCTTTTATATTAGATAAATATTTAACCCTTTCGGCAATTATCTCTTACAATGTACAACTCAGCGCAAAATATTTTCCAGAAAATATCCGAAAACAATGGTAGCATTACTGAAACAAGCATATCTTGTCTAATAATAAAGGTATGAAAATTGTTGACCAAAGTCGCCTACGGCGGCCTGTCTGCATGTCGACTTTTGTCGCCTATGGCGGCCTGTCTGCATGTCGACTTTAGGAGTCTACGGCGGCCTGTCTGCATGTAGACTTTAGTTGCCTATGGCGCCGAAAGGGTTAAATGTATTTTGGTTTTGACACTTTATGGCAAAATTTGGACATGTCAAAATAAACCAATTATATGGTATCTATATTCTCTCTACAAATCCTTGTCTGTTTAGGTACAACGCTGTAGATGTGAATGTAGCAGTAGCTACACCAAATGGTCTGATAACACCAATTGTCTTCAGAGCAGACATTAAGGTAATAGGAAACTCAAAAAAAATTTTTTTTAGATAAGTTGAAACCTCATTTTGATGATCAGGAAGATACTATGTGTATTTCAGCAGATATTTATTTCAAAATGCTGTACAGTTTAGTTTTGTAAATGCAGTAAAATCAGGTTCAATTAAAATAGCAATTACATATATATGTAAATGTATAGTAAACCATCTTTTTTCACATGCAAACTTCGTGGTGAAAAGCAAAAATGCAAAAATAAGTCAATGTAGAATGCACAGATGATAAACAATAGTTTTAAAGGTTAAACTTTGTTGATTATACACTATGGGATGATTTATTCTTCATACAGAGTTTATTCTAATTCAATGTGAACAGTACATACAGCTATAAGACTTATCACATTTCATAAATGTCGTGTTGATTCTAATGTAATTGACATGTTAGTCCTTTGAGTGTTCGATTCTGAGGAGTCCATGTTTGGTAACTTTCAGATAAAGATTGCTAGCATGCTTGATTACTGTGTCACCTGTATATAAAGCCAAACAAGGTTTAAGATAATTGTTATCAACCTTCCCATTGCTATTGAAACAGAAGCATGAGATATTGAATAAATTTTTAAGTTAATTACTTGTAGACTGGTCCATTCCAGGTTAAAATAAATACCATGCACATAGAATTTTTGAATGGTGTTTCAGAATTTACAAAAGTAAATTGGCAAGAACTTGTTGTATTGCTAAAATCATGAAAGTTAGTAGGTATGGTAACTGCTGTGGCATATTCTATATTTTCTGGAGAACGAGACAAAAACCGTTATATGGTGATTAGTAACTTGACAATTTGTTAAACTTTAATTTCTCAGGGTTTGTCAGACATCACTCAGGACGTCTCCAGGCTAGCATCAAAGGCCAGAGAAGGCAAGCTTCAACCACAGGAGTTCCAGGTAAGTGTTATAAAATAGTGACAGGAGTGGTCTTTGGACTGCTTTCTGTCACTGGAGTTTCTGGTAAATAGCCACAGTGATGGACTAAACTTTATAGCCTATAGTAATGATTTCAGACTAATGTGCCTGATGAGTCCAGAGGAGAGCTCAATAAATTGTTGCTGAGGCCATCCTTTAAATTTTCTATGTTTGGTATTGACCGAAGACCCTGGATCTGTTAATAGGAAAAAATTTGCTATTGCAAAACAAAATATATAATAAATTAGTCGGTTTCTTATCATGATTATTACCTGTATTTATATTATTATGAAACACTCTGAAAACTAGTTAAAAAGATTTTTTGAATACATGTCAAGAAAATTAAGGAGAAAAATTGATTTGGAAAAGGGTTATATGATTTTGCTAGCCAATTCTGTAGGAGGTTACTTATATTTAAATGAATTACAGACATCACAGCTTGGTTTGTTTTGTTTCAGGGAGGAACATTTACTATCTCCAACCTTGGCATGTATGGGATAAAGTCATTCTCTGCTGTTATTAACCCTCCACAAGTAAGTACATCTGTCCTTTTTGTACTAGTCTGTGCCCGATAATCAGCTCACCCATACAACACTACAATTCAACAGTAAAATTACCAATAAGTGATATAACAACTTGTCTGTATGAAGTCCACACACTGATTTTCAGTGCAATTGAATGTACTGGCCCATTGGACTTGATGTAAATTACAAGATGATAATTCATCTATATATATTTTCAAATTGATGCCATGGATAATGTCATCTTTTACACCTATTGATGAAATCAAGGTTAGTATTTTCATGCTTTACCTCAAAAGTAAAACTTAGGTGTATCTTTGTTTGATTAATATACACAAAGAAGAGATGCAAATATTTTTTGTCAGAAAAGCTAGACTGTGGTGTTTCTTTTGGCAGCAACAGCAAATTGTTAACATTTTACTTATATTTTTACCATGCATTTATAAATAAACAAAACAACAACATATGTTGTATATAATTTTTACATATTATTCATTAGAATTAATTTTTGTACTTTGAAACAAGGAGACCAAGCATGTTTTTCATTTTGCTTCAAAAAAAAACATACTAACAAAGCAGGACAGGCATGACATATACTTGTGTGTAAATCTTGTGTTTACTTCCAGGCATGTATTCTGGCAGTGGGTGGAGCAGAAAAGAGACTGGTCGTAGATGAGGACAGCAATCAAGGGTAAGTTGATTCTCAAAACATCTTGCATTGTTTGGTATCATCAATCTATCACAGGGGTCAGTATATAAGTCATCAGGGTCAACGGGGATTATATCACAGGGGTAAGTATATAGGTCATCAGGGTCAACGGGGATCATATCACAGGGGTCAGTATATAGGTCATCAGGGTCAATGGGGATCATATCACAGGAATCAGTATATAGGTCATCAGGGATCATATCACAGGGGTTAGTATATAGGTCATCAGGGTCAACGGGGATCATATCACAGGGGTCAGTATATAGGTCATCAGGGTAAACGGGGATCATATCACAGGGGTTAGAATATAGGTCATCAGGGTCAACGGAATCACATCACATGGGTCAGTATTAAGGTCATCAGGATCAATGGGGATCATATCACAGGGGTCAGTATATAGGTCAACAGGGTCAACGGGGATCATATCACAGGGGTCAGTTGACAGGTCATCAGGATTTACATCAATCATATCACCTACCGTTTGATATTAACTAACTAAATATGTATCAGGCACCAGTGTTAACGTGGATCATACCACAAGATTCAGTTTACAAGTTGACAAGGTCAGTGAGGATCCTACAGAAATTGACATCAGTAAAAAATTAATTAAATATAAATAAAATACAAATGTGTTAAATTGAAGACAATACACGTCAGAAGAGATGGTAAATGGGACCACATTCAGGAGTCAATATAGAATATAATGCTTGTTGATTAATATTTATCTGGACAATCCTTCATTTATTTCTTGAGTCTTGAATTTACATATTTGTTTGACTGTAATATTTTGTTTAACTCTCATATTTGTATTGTTTGATTTTCATCTGTTAACAGGTATGCCCAGGCTAACATGATGTCAGTGACTCTAAGCTGTGACCATCGTGTTGTAGACGGAGCTGTTGGTGCCCAGTGGCTGGCAGAATTCAAGAAGTTCATGGAGCGACCTGAAACTATGCTCTTATAAAGTAGAGTATAGGCTAAAAAATTATGGAGTGGGAAATCTTCAAAGTGCTAGAGAAATAAGTGCAATGATAGGACATGGATATTAATCAAGGGACACTGGCGGCATGTGTATTGTTGGTTGTTCTACTCTGTAGCATTAGAAGGAAATCTCTAGCTCTGAGTGAACAAATATTAGTTGTGTGACGATGTCATGCACATTATAGTGTGCAGGACTTGATGCCATTTCTACAAGGCGTAAGTGGCTTACAGAATAAAATATTTTATATTATTGATAGGACAGGGCTCTGTCGTTTGTGATGTCCACTTGATCCTGTTGTGATCTAAATTTACTCGATAACGGGCATTTCTGACAACATCAAGATAAACCACCTCTCATGAAGGAAATTACGTGGTTTTCGAAGACTGTTTCTGATTTTGATTATCACACCATCCAGGATGTTTCCGATCAGGAACAATACTCAACAGAAATCTTGGAAAGGGTAGGGGAGTTAGGGGACGGTATTAACAAAATTTCAACTTTGTATTAACAGTGTAAGAATAGATCTAGTGAAACCATTTTAGATTGAAAAAATTTAATGTAATTGTAGCTCCTCAAGTCATTGAAAATTAGTGTGGCTTACTTTCTGGATTTACCCATTAAAGGAATGTATGGATTAAACCATTTACTGTAAATGTACTTAATTTAGCTCAAATCTTAGCACATTTTTGACAAATTAGCATGATGTTAAATTTGCGTATCAACAATAGCATATTGTTTATGTCTTATTTTCAGTGCTAAAAGATTATTGCTAAAATATGAACATTTACCATATACTGTAGCCAGCTGCTGGTTATATGAAGGCTATACATGTATTTTAATGCCTGTTTGACCAAACATTGTTACTACAAAGGTGTGAGACATTTTTGTGTTCAGCTGCCAACTTTTAATCCAGGGAAAATGAAGATGATAGTATTACCATCTTCAACTGCTGATGGCAGACAGTACCTTTGTGATAGCTGTCCTAAAAATGTCAGTTATTTATGTTACTTACCTGAAACCAAATTTGTACCGGGCGTTAGTGGAGATCTTTTATGTTCAATATTAAGATATTGAGGGTGGATAGTCAGTACTGCGATGGTAAATACAAACATTTATAAAATGACATTGTTAATGTTTCGTTTTAACCCTTTCTTTTATGTGTAAATAATTTATTCAAATTAAATGTTGTCAACATCATCCTGTAGGTTTTCATTGTGTTGTTTACAATATTGCACACTTATCATAACTCTGTTACATATTCCAGCTACGTGCACCAATAACCTGATTTCATTGTTTCAGTCAGTACTTACTGATGAGCAAGGTTGCACTCGCAACCAAAGTGTTGAATTCTATGGTCAAGGTGTCAAACTCTATCTGAAATATCAAACTGTCAAACTCTCTCTTTACCAGAAGTGTCCAGCTCTCTTTCTGAAGTGTTTAAGTATATATCTATAGAAACAAACTCTATATCTGCAGTATTGAACTATAAGTGTAAAACTCTCTATCTGAAGTACCCAATTCTTGTCTGAAGAGTACAACTCTCTATGTGTTTTAACATTCCATCTGAAATATCAAAATCTAACCGCTGTGTCAAAATCTCTATTTCCCACAATCAAGGGCACAATTAGTGGGAGAAAATATATATTGTAACTCGTGTGAAGGCTTATAAGTTATCATGATTTCTTTCCTAAATGTTGCTATTTCTGGTGTATACAGTTATTGAATTTACCTAAAAGCAAGATGTGTTTTTGAAACACTATGCCCCGGTTGCAGCAAAATTATGAAGTGGGACATTTCAACTGTACTGCATAAGGCATGTGCTAATTGCATGTACTCTTTGGGAAACACTTGTGTCATTGTAGCAATGGTTTGGCAGCTTTTGTTCAATAGTTATGGCCAATGTTTAAATGCTCAAAAATGTTGATACTATGGGAAAGAAGCACACATGCCAAATATGAAGGCCCTGCCTCTTACAGTGCAAGAGTTATGTCCAGTGTTAAGACTTTTCCAAATGTAAGTCGAAGGCCAAGGTCACTTTGTCAAAAAATTTTAGTGCAATAGTTACGGGCAAAATTAAAGCTGACAAAAGACAAACACAAGAAACAACACAAGAGGCCTAGCACCTTTGACGGTCACCTGAGATAAGCAACATTGAATATAAAGGTTAAGGATAGTTATCAAGTGTTCATGAAACAGAAATTGTAACACTGAATATAGACAGTGTCAATACATGCATTCCAACAAAACTGTCATCCTATACTGATGATTCTTATAAAGTTATTTCCAGTGGGAAATAACCAACGTTATGCTATAAAAATGCAATTTTTCTATAAAAATTACAGTAAAGCCTTAAAAAAAATATATTCGTTCCCAGGAAGAAATGTGACACTCATTTTAGTAATTATAGCACCTTAATATGCTTCCACACATGAAGAGCATTTGATTCTACCAATCTACCAATACTATCTGGGTCTAGAGAAGAAGATTTTTGAAATTAATTTGACCCCTTTTTGCCCTGCCCATCAGCCCCTCGAGGTCAGTCAAGATCAAAATTGACATACCATCAAGCTGTCATCAAATGTGAGACTGTGGGGCCAAGAATTTCACAATTTTGGTAAAACATCTTTTGATGCTTCCATTCATGAAGAGTATTTGATTATACCATATCTTGTTTGAGTCAATTTAACCCCCTTTGGCCCCACCCCTCAGGCCCCTGGAGTGTGGGGACTGTGTAATTCACAAATTTGGTTCATCTTAGGCCAGGGAAGGTTTCTGCAAAATTTCATTGAAATCTGATCCGGTGTTTTTGAGAGAAAGTCGAAAATGTTAAATTGTTCACGGACACATGACGCCGGATGAAGGGTATTAGAATAAATTGAATTGAGACTTTGTCTCAGGTGACCTAAAAGTGATATGCCCCCAGATCAAAAATAAAACTTATCTCAATGACATTTGCCACAAGTCATCTTTTTATTTACTATGTAAACCTCTCAGTAGCAGTGATCAAGTTTTGAGCATTTTGCAACTTGTTCTTAAGTCTTTTTCATCCTTTCATTCTCAAGTGACCACCTGCTGCATATTGTTCCACAAGTCTTCTATATCCGCTTTCTGTGTCCACAGGTCTGCTGCACTGATTCAGTTAAGTCAGCAAATCATGCTATCACTATTTTAATTGCTTAAGACACTTGATTTCCAAAGACACTGGAAGTATACAGTGGCAAGTGCCCTATCAGTCTTGTTCTCATGGTCACACCAACAGCAACAATTAAGACTGATCCAGACTAAGAGGGAGTCCTAAACTGGTGTGATGGGTCAGTTTTATATCTAACAACATTATATGCCAGTGATGACTTGTTGTTATCATCCACGGTCTTTTAATCGCTTTATGAAAGTCACTTCATCCTTATTTCTAATCTCATACCTGTCAAATAAATGAAAATTTTCATCAATTTAGTTAGACTGCTCACCGATGTTAGACCTACTGTTAAACTTCAAAAGTATGGAGCTGGTGAATAGGAAAGTAGTTGACATATTTTTTCTTTGGATCACAATATGAAGGATTGGAAGCAAGACAAAGTTTAAACAGTAACTTTTCAATGTAAAGAAATGGAGTAAAACTTATTTTTGTAAAACATAGAGCAATCAAATCTGGAATGAAGTTAGATCTGTGGGTGTACAACTCATATCTGTTTTAATAATTGCTTGATTATTAAAGTTTTTTGCTTTACCAGAATTCACATAGCTATAAATTTATTGAAAGACAGGATAAATGCATATACTGTGAAATAATTAATTTTCGTGGAGGATTTATTTTCAATGATTTCATGGGTACAATTAATCCACAAATTTATTTGTTCACAAAATGATATACAGTTTAGGATACACATTATCTTAGCACTAGAGGATTTGATGAGTACTATTTATCCAAAAAGTCAAATGTCAACAAAAATGGAATTTTACAAAAAAATCATGAAATTGAGTAAAATAGATGACTCTTCTGTACAATGTACCAAATGAGATACAGATTTGTAACAACTGAACTTGAAATTCACTGTCAAGTAATAGATTATGAAAGTGGACTTACTCTTTCAAAGATTTTCTGTTATCTGATAATTTCTGAGAATTGAAATATAACCAGTATCGCTTCCAAATATATTTCCTGTAAAGAGAATAACATATCAAATACATGTGCAGTACAACAAGGTATTATAGATTCTGGTACAAGCATACATAGCAATGAACACACCATCTAGAAAGTAGTGATTAATAGAAAATCAATGCAAAGATTTTAACTAGATATTCATTTTAATCAGTCATTATAACAAAATTACCACGACATACATGTTGTAAAGTTGCAAAAATATTGCTTTCCTCCCTCCAATATGGCAGCAGTTTCTGAAAATACTCTGGTTTCTACACGTCAAGGTGTGTACTTTGGGGTCAACGGAAAGAAGTTGATAAAAATTTGTGAAAAAATTGTAAAATGATTCAAATCTAATCAATGATATCTGCCGTTTCCAGCCTGTATCTAACTTACCAGCACACGGCATATATCAAGCCTGGATGTAACCTACCAGCTGATGTGGATATATCCAGGCTGTATGTAACCTACCAGCTGATGTGTATATCCAGGCTGTATGTAACCTACCAGCTGATGTGTATATCCAGGCTGTATGTAACCTACCAGCTGATGTGTATATATCCAGCCTATATGTAACCTACCAGCTGATGTGTATATATCCAGCCTATATGTAACCTACCAGCTGATGTTCCTATATTCAGCCTATATGTAACCTACCAGCTGATGTTCCTATATCCAGGCTGTATGTAACCTACCAGCTGATGTTCCTATATCCAGCCTATATGTAACTTACCAGCTGAGGTGCAGCTTTCCTCCATTTCGAATCTGCTTCAGAGTGATGTAACGCTTTATGGCATGCTTCAAATCCAGCACTGTTGCATTTTGAGTAACGACTACCGCTATAACAAAAGGAATATAAAGATTACTTATATATCTATATATGTTGGGAGTAAATATAGATATAAGGTCACATACATGTCTGTCCCAGTTGTATCATGGTTCTGACATCTTGTTTAATACCTGTAATACTGTCCAGAGAGACCTTAAACACTGATATCTCCTGAGTATAACACCACTGGAATATTTTATCAATACTTGTACATTGTACATCAATACAAAGAAATATTTCATTGCGCTTTTACCCATAACTTCGTCATCAGCCCGTCGGACATTAACCACCATGGCTTGCCCATATTCCAGAGCAACACAAGAATTCACTTCCTCTAAGGTCACTTGAGGAGGAAGGTCAGACAGCAGAGGGTCTTCCTGTAATGTAAAAGGTTCATACATCAGTAAGTTACAATTTCTTATTTAAATGACCAAAATTAGTATCTATTATGTTGCATGTTGTATCATGCATCTGTAACTATGGTATATATTCAACAGGAAATCTCTGGACTGACTATACTTTATCATAATGGTAATTTATATCCTGTTTGTTTAGTTTCGACTTACAATTATCAGATGGTAGGCTATCCTCCTCATCTTTAAACCCTACCTCCTATCCCCTCCAAACTCTTCTGAGAACAGGCATGCTAGTTACTTCAACATCTCACATCAAACACATCACTGCCTGTACATTATATGTTGTTTGGAGATAAACTGTAGTGGGTTTGTAGTGGGTCAGTGGCACAGGGGTGGTGGTTGTACATGAGAGGTGGGAATTAGACTGAATTTTTGGATATGGTTAGGATGTTGTGAAGGTCAGAAGTGGAGGTGAGATTGCTAAGTTGAATATGAAAGTATGTACAGAGAGAATTTTGGAATAGGGAGTGGATTTGATCAGTGTGGAGGGCGTGAGTATGAATTAGGATTAACTTACTGTAATGAGGTTTGCCATCACGGACTCTACTTGTGACATAGCCTCTACATGACTCAGAGTATGATCATTAGCGGAAATCGCAACTGAGGCAGATGGCGTGTCTACTACAGAGGCCTCCATGTCCTTGGTTACTTCCCCTTGGTTATCATCGTCCCTCTGAGATGATTCTTCTATCCCTGTTGAATCCATAGATCTGGTAACCTTTCCTACATTAAAAACAATTTATGACAGCCTTGTTAGACAAGGTTCTCCTCCACCATTTTTACTTTTATCTGTCCCATGGTCTCCCTCTGACAAGGCCACTGGCCTCTTTGATCAATCACCAGTACATACCAGAACAGAAGACTGATATACTGCAAAACATTTAAATGGTATACACTAACACACCCTATAAATAAGACAGTCAGACACAAATATAGATCTTGACCATGATATTTCTACAATTTTTATGCATGCAAACACAGCGGCATTATGTTTTATCATTTTTTTTAAGATGATTATATGTCCCCGAGCTCATTGTATAGTCCAATATTTAAAACATTTTTAATTTTAAAGACAGATGTATATATCAATTCCAAGGAAATTTCACCTGTCAAAGCTACAAATAAAATCTAGATGACCCGTTGTAATATCACGATGAAAGGTCTCAAAGTTATTATTGTGCCACTTTTGAAAGCCAGTTTGCGTTTTCATATGCAAAACCACACCCTCTCTGCCCGCCCCTCTTTCTGGAAACGCCTTTCTGGTATAACTTTACAGTACAATACCACAGCACAAGCAAAATAAATGCATGTCGCAATCGTTAGAAAGACATTCTTGACGTTGATACTACTTGTTTTAGACTATTGACAGTCGTGTACCACTTTATACATACTACCTGAACATATCGATTATTTAAAAAAAAAATACACGTGAATATATATACATTTGATAATGATTCACCTTTGCTTGTGTGTTACTTGCCAGGTACAGATGAACGAGAACACTACAGGGGAAATGCTTGTCATTCAAACGGTAAAATGATTACGATAATTCAAGCGTTAAGTAGACGGACTTCCGGTAATGACGGTCGGTGAAAATGTTGATGTTTTGCCCCACATGTTCTAATGTTTTAGTTGTTGAAGAAGGAGAAAGATGTTACAGGTTCGCATGTAACACCTGTCCTTATATACAGAATATAAAACGAAAGGTAATCCAACTTGAAATATGAGAACCTTCTGTTAAAAAGATACAATAATACATATTGTCTTCTCATCACAGTGAGCCTGCATCGATACAATGTAATATACAATATTTCTCATATCATGTATGATTGCATCATTTACCATTTTACTATACCTGACGTACACCTGTTAATATGCAGTTACATGTAAAAGGTTCGTTTCAAATATTATAGTTAAATGTATGAGTTGATTCGCAGAGTAATGTTTATGTGTAAAGTTGTTTGTAATAAATACACTGTAATTGATGCAAGTAAAAAAATAATATGAAGAACAAAAATTTGAAATATATTTCATTTTTTAATGTATCATAAAAATTGGTTATTTTACATGGAGATATATAGATATATGTCTTATATCATTTAAACGATCTTTCTGAAGTAACGCAGTCACCATCACCATTATTTTTTTGTCTGTCAGGATACTGTGGAGGTTGGGTATACATATAACATGTACACTAATTATAACTTTACTGTACTCATGCTAAAGTGTCAACTTACATGAAGCATCCACAGGTTGTACTTGTTTTTCAGTGACATTTCCTTTATAAATCTTGTTGAGTTTTATATATATATATATATCTGAGAACTTCAGCTCATCCAGCAACGATGACCAAGGTGAAAAATGAATTCACAGATACATAGTCAGAATCCTACTAACTTACCATACACCTACTATGTGCTTTAAGTGGAAATTATGTGTGATCAGCAGTCTACTGCTCGAAAAGATTAAAATCATAGATACGTACTGTGGGAATTTCTGACATTTTGCTCAGTTTTTATATTTTTGACATTGAATTATATCAAATTTAAGAAATAGAGATTTAGAGAATTCTGTTCGATGTTGTTGTTAAACAATATAATTTAACTGCAACTTCAATTCTAATGATTTCTTTGATAAACAGATCAGCAATAGAAAATACCCTAAGCTGAAGGAAGTAGATGATGTGTTAGGTGGTGCAGCTGCCTGGGAAAATGTAGACAGTACAGAAGGTAGGTAGATTTGCATGAAAATACAAAGACATTTATTGAGCCATCTTCCATACTCCAGAGAAATGCTTACTATTGCTCTCTGCATCCCTGGAACATTTCATGTCAAAATTGGAGGTTACATGTGAAACACTTTGCAAATAAGACAGGAGGACTAGTTTGGTCCTTTGATGAACATCAAACAAATTGCGAGGTCACATAATGGTATGTTGTGTCAACTTCGAAGTTGAGCTTTGCTCCTTTGTAGTCTTCAAAGGCAGATATCAGTCTGTGATTTGTCAGCTTTTTTATCCTGAAACAGCTCTAGACATATTAATTACTGCAGTTGAGCCTTCAGTTTTGCAACCAATCTTTCCAGGGGTGCCACGAGTGAATGTGCATTTGATCGTAACCTCTGAAGTATCAAGGATGTTCCTGAGCTAATTTCATGGGAAATATGACACCAAGAAATATTCAAGAAGATCAGTAAAATAAGTTAGTTTGATGACATCATTTTAATCTGGGAACACACATTATATGGAATTTTTTGTGAATGGTTATTTTTGCCAATTTGATGAAATAAAAATCAAAAGACCTATTAATACAAATTAATTATTTGCATCTGCAAAATTACTAGAAATGGATCAAAAATTAAAAAAAACAAAAAAAATCTGAAATTTTACATTTACGTTCCCAATCTGTTTTTAATTAGTTTTCCAGCAGTAGATTTTCATGTTGGAATTACTGCAAGTAACACCTGTATAATTGACAGTGTGGTAACAATTTTGATATCTTTTTGCTTTATGCATTATGGAAAAATATACTGTCGTTTGTAAGTCTTAAATAAGCAAAGGGAGGCAACACATTATGTCTTACTCAAATTTAGGGAAGTGGACTTGTAACATGAAAACAGTATAGTATGTGTTGTCTTTTCTACTGAATCTACTATATACTTAATAAAACAAAGGTTATCAAGATTTGTATAAGTGACAGTTTTGTCAGATGTCCATGAAATATGGTAACTAAGGGGGTCTTACCACAGACTTACATATCTAGTCCCTGGTCAAATGATTACCGATATGTAGGATGTCTAATTATGAATGTTTAAATGTTGACCAAAATGTGTGATGGTTCCCAGATTTTATCTGATGTGCAAGAAATGTGGTGTTCATGTCTCTAAGATCGGTGATAGAAACTTATGTGACCATCATCAGGTAGGACGACAGCATTACAACATTAACGCTGCTATATAGAGCCTGCACAATCTATATTGTTGAATGGTTTGAGCATGCAGGTATGGCGTTCCTCTTGTCATTCTTTTGCCTGGGCCAGTTCTTGTAAGATGGAGGGCAGATTTTGCCAATGCCATACTCATCTTCCAAGAACATTCCAGATTTGTTAAGCCCAATCAGTGTGGTTGGTGCAATGGTGTTGCCTAAAGACAGGACCTGTGTAAGGCCTCCTTACACACAATTGGTAATGCTTTAGCCTGTTGAGGATGGTCTGACTGCGTATATATAATTACCTGTCAACCAAGCCAGTTCCTTGATTTTATGGTAGAAGGAAGAAACAGATTTTGAAGATTCTGTAGCAGTGTTAGATGGCCTTCATGAGGGGTGTAAACTCATGGTTGGCTGTTCCTTGGACAGTCAGAGGTTCAAGTACATATTTAGTTGCATTAAAATGATAAAACTGTCTTGTAACCTGAGGTTGCCTTGCACCAACTAAGAGCATGCAAATTGCCTTTTCTCTCTCTTCTTTTTCGACAGAAGCTACATTGCATTGATCTATACAATTTAAATCCAAATGATGATTTTTTCAAATGAGAAAAAATTTGAGATAGTGCTTAAAGCATTTTATGAAATTCAACTGAACAAATTTTGAGTGAAGTGGAGAAATTTGTTTTGTTCTAAAAGACAATCTTTGAATTTTACACTTGACTGATTTCAATCAAAATGTTGGCAAGTAATCCAGAGATTCCGATAAAACACATTATTAACTGATAATTATATATAGGTATATAATCAACCAACGTTTGGTGTACGACAAGGTAGCTTGATCACCTTTTTTTGTTTCTTAGATATATATGTGGGTGGACTAATTTCAGGGTATACATAGGTTTATTAATACAGATAAATGAGGTTTATATTTACATGCAGGATACACATCGTTTACACAGTGGTGAGAGTATTTGTGACATGTGTAAACATGTAGTAGTTCAAAACCTTTTATCCAGAGGAAGTCTATATAGGGAAATTCATGAACCTTTTGCTATATAGTAAAAATGTTTTGTACAGAAAACTTTTAACCAGACTGCCAGTATTTTCAAAATTTCAAGAACAATGTAGTTCTTCTGAAATTAATTTTGTAGGATCTTTCTCGCCCTTCCTATGCAACCTTCCAGATAAGTCTCCAAAGAATTGTTATCAAAATATTGACAAACTCAATTCCATCGTGAGATGTGATACATTCTTCAAACATGAGCGAGTCTCAAATGAAAAGAATAATTCTAAACCTCAAAAATTCATGTGAAAATATCAATCACCGTTATTTACATATGAATATGTATTTTTGATTCTTTCCAGAAACCTGTCCTAAATGTGCACATGGCCGAGCATTCTTCATGCAGATACAGACACGATCAGCTGATGAACCAATGACAACCTTCTATAAATGTTGTAACATGAAGTGTGGTCATCGATGGAGAGACTGACCATATCTTATATCTCACATGATATACAATTATATAAAACTGACCAGAGGGTTCAAAATGGAAGAACTGCTTTTTTGTGGTCAACACCAATATATATGTACAATGCCAAGGACAATTATGTCTCTTTCCTCTGATACAACGGAAATGAATGATGATGGACTTTAATCCCAAGCAGGCCTGGAGAATATTATAATTGCATTTTGCATTTTGCTTTCAGTGATATTTTTCCTGAAAATAACATATTTGTATTGAGACAAAAAACAATGTTATTCAGAAGTAAGTCAAGTCTAGATCTATTTTGCAGTAATGCATAAAGACACTGAAGAACACTTCATGCAGGGAGAAGTGATGGAGATCAAATTCATCGGACATCCTTATTTTTTGGTTTTCTTCAACACACCACAGTTCTGTCAGCATTCATGACACAGCCAACATAGATTGACTGGGAACTTGTATGACAGTTGAATAAGTTATGTTACCACAATATGAATTGAGTTTTCCATTCAGAAGAATTCTCTTTGTTTGTATATGTACTTAAAGAGGGAAATTTTCCTGTTAAATGTATGTTTAGCAGGTTTAACCTTGGAATAAATTCCTAGCAAAGATAACATAAAATGTTATATTTGTACATGGAGGAGAGAAGTTACTGAGGGACATGAAATCGTAAAAGATTGATCCAAGAACTTTAACCATTTCAGTTTACAGTAGATTTTAGCTGACACAGACCCTACATAAGAATGCCATCTGTCAGTCACGCAGGACTATTGCAAAGAGGAATCTACAAAACTTTAGAAAGTTTCATAAAGAAGTTCTCAAGAATAAGCGATAAAAATGTTCATTGTCCAAATATGCTGAATGCTAAATTGATGTAAGGCACAGCTGAATGTCATGGCTGTTATTCACCCATGCATTAACTTTTCCACTCGTTAAACTTTTCAAGCACTTTGTATGGTATTTAGTTGAAACCTTCTCTGTGGCTGAGAAAGCCCAAATGACTGTAAGCACAATACATATACATACTCCATGGGCGATGTAGAGACTTATGTATATACTTCTCTGCTCTATGGCATTCTTATGTTGTGAAATAAAAGTGAAATTATATCATAGATATAAAACAGAGATAGTTAGAATACAGTAATTACAGTGATAATTGAAATCTAACAATGTGATTCATTCAAACCATTCTAAAAACTGAGAAAAATATACTTTAATCGCAAAGAGACAGTGACCGGTACAAGTGTATGTTATATATATAGATGTATAAACCTTGGGCTTAATCGTTCACCTGTTTTGCAGTTTACAAAGAAGCCGTTTACTAGTTATTCAAGACTATATTCAGAATAGCTTATTTACAAATGCATACACATCACATACATATTATGGACTTAATTTCTAAAACTGTATTCTTGAAAGAATACCTAAATTACTTACATTTTTAGCATTTCACTCAGTCCATCGGAGATAACAAACAGCATATATATCTGGATATCTTACTCGTAGAATGTATTTACAATGCTTATAGAATTTGATGCATACAATGTACCTATTTTTTCAAAGGATACACTGTGTTATATAATGTATAATTCAAACTTCCCGGTAAACACTACATACAATTAGATTATCGATCCACAAATTGACAGAAAGTACATTCACAGATCATAGTTTATCTAATTGTATTAACGTTATTTATTAGCTATCTGTTAATTTTGTGAATCTGTTAGAACCACGTATAACGTGTAGAAGACGTCTGAAACACATGTCATAATGATCTTTGGTATCTGAGAAACGTCTGCCATAACATTTCCCCACTTAATACTGATATATATAATTTCGGACCAGCATTTAATTACAATTCAATTGATTGCGGTTGTTAAAACAGCAAAATTCAATACTTAATATGGGATAGGTCACTTCTGTACTAGTTCACACATGAGCACGTTTTACATGTTTTTCGTTCACGGTTCATTTCTTGTTAAGTGCAGCACCCAATTACTGCAAACTGCATCGTTAAGACAGCGAAAACATATTAACTGTACTGTTCGTGTGACACTCCTGATAACATGATTTGCAAAATGTATTTCTGTAAGCATGATCAAATAAGTGATTTCTTTCGCCAACAGTCTACTTTTGAGAATTGTAGTTTTGTTTACGTGTTTTGCTTATCTAAACGTATCACAAGAAACAATTCGCCTCGTTTTTGCTCAGGTATGCATAATTGGAACGCTCAGTTATTGAGTGACATATCTCGTAAGTCAGTGCACAGATTTTGATATGGACAAGTGGTCAGTCATATAGGCTTGGGAAGGGGTGATGTCTTGTAAATTACAGCTACCACTGCATCAGTAGCAAAAAATGCAAAATCATGAAAAATCGTGTCTTCCAGACCAGAGAATTTCTTGGAAAAGTTGAAAGCAGTTAATCAAAATTTCATAACCACATACTCAATATCACAACCTCATCATCATATCCTCAGCATCACAGTCTCATCTCTACATCTTCATAATCACAAACTCATCACCACACCTAACATCATCACCACATCTTAAACATCACAACTATTACCTCAACATCAAATCGCATCACAACTTCAACGCCGACTCAAAGCAAACTTGCATCATCACAGGACATTCTTCAGATACCTCGATTCTGAAGTCTCAGACCCACAACATTACACATCTTCACGATCACAACCTCATCACAACATATTAGACAACACATCCTTATATCATATTCTCACCATCACAACCTCATCATAACCTCATCACAACAGATTAGACAACACATCCTCATATCACATTCTCACCATCACAACAGATTAGACAACACATCCTCATATCACATTCTCACCATCACAACCACATCACAACAGATTAGACAACACATCCTCATATCACATTCTCAACATCACAACCTCATCATAACCTCATCACAACAGATTAGACAACACATCCTCATATCACATTCTCAACATCACAACCTCATCATAACCTCATCACAACAGATTAGACAACACATCCTCATATCACATTCTCAACATCACAACCACATCACAACAGATTAGACAACACATCCTCATATCACATTCTCACCATCACAACCTCATCATAACCTTATCACAACAGATTAGACAACACATCCTCATATCACATTCTCAACATCACAACCTCATCATAACCTCATCACAACAGATTAGACAACACATCCTCATATCACATTCTCAACATCACAACACATTAGACAACACATCCTCATATCACATTCTCACCATCACAACCTCATCATAACCTCATCACAACAGATTAGACAACACAGCATCATATCACATTCTCAACATCACAGCTTCACCACGAAAATCGCATCACTGTAGTCTCTACCGAAACTCTATATATATAGATGGGCTAATACTAATACTGGCATATTTTTTTATCGATGTTATTTTTTGTGATTGTATGAAAGCATTTGATAAAGTCATGTCAAATAGGGAATTTCTGGGATGTTCTTTACATGGAAAGTAAACTTTTTACTTAAAAGGAAACAAATGGTAGCCGTAAATGACAAAAATCGGGTTGGAACTGTGTATTAAGGGAATCAATCATGACCACAATGTGTTAGGACCACTTTTATTTGTGTTTTATATAATGAGGTTAAAGTCCTGGAACGACTACATACTTGTTTGTGGACGATACGAAAGCATTTAGAGCAATTGATAAAGAGGAGGAATGTAAAATTTGCTACCAATACCTATATTCCCTAAAAGGATGATCAGAGGTGTGGCAACTCAGCTTTTACCCATAGACAATCAATTATCATTTAATAAACACATATGTGAGAAAGTGAATAAAGGTTATTTCATGATGGCAGTTCTATGGCGAGCAATATAATGGGGAATATATATATATATATATATATGAACCTGGAGAGATTGAAGCTGTTATACACCTACTTGGTTAGACCACAAATTCAATATGCGAATCAAGTCTGTTACCCTCATCTCGAAAAGCGCATAGAAATGATTTTTTTTTTTTTTTTTTACAAGTTTAGAAAAATATTTATTCCCTCAGCAATTAATTTGGAGGAGGCTGCCAGGGTTGGGGAGCCCTGGGATCAGCCTCCGTACAGATAAGTGCCATCACGCAGGATGCCTCTCATTCATCATACAAACACACTTCCATGTAGACACTTACATGTAGCCATTAGAAACAATAAATATTTTGGTAAACCTAATATAAATAGACAGACATAACAAGTAGAAATATTTACATAAACAACAAAAACATGGTAAACAAGCAGGACAGACATACAAATAGGTTGTACAAGTGACATTCTAGACAAGAGATATCAAACAGATAGACTAGATAATAGACATAAAACAAACAAAAACAAAAACAAAAAACAAAAAAACAGTGTAACATAGTACAGTGCTAAAAGAAATGTGATACTTATCTATTTTGATTTTTTTTTTAGGAAAGGAACAGGAGTTGACTATCATATAGTAAGCAGCTTTTGAGAGAATTATGTGTGAGGATTAGATTCTAATAGAGTTGACCATTTTCTCCGAAAGGTTTTAAATTTCTCGAATTCATTTTGATTTTTCGATATATACGTTTGCACTTGATAAGTTTCCTTAATCTCATTTTAAAGTGCAAGTATAGATAAGCTATTTTTAAGACATTTTGATTTATAGATATAATATTTAATGATTAAACTTTTGTCAACTGCATCCTTTGTTTTATCATAAGAAACCAAAAAGGAAAGATTTCTTATTTAATATAAAGTTAATACGAAAAATGAGTCTCTCAAAGCTAAGGTGTCTCACCTCTTGTCAATCCCACAAAATGTGTTCAATTGTTTCTCTATTTGTTTTACATAATGAACATAATGAGGTATCAGATAAACCCATTTTAAACAACACATAGTTGGTAGTCAAAATGTGGTGATTAATTTTATATTGAAACCATTGAAATTTGGTATTTTTAGTGACTTTAAAAGGAAGTATGTAGATTTGTTTCCATGTGTCATCATTAATATCGTAGTTAATCCATTTTAATTTACCTGTGGGTGTGACATTATTTTTACTTAAAACATATATATATATATATATGGAATATAAGGATATTTTATAGATACGTGTTCAGATTTTGTTGATATTTGTGTAGTGCTTTTGCTATTACTGATGTGATTCCATGATACTTTAGAAAGTTGCACCTAATATTATATTTATGTTTGAAAACTTCATAAGAAAGACACTTACCATTATCACCAACTATATCATTAATAATCCTTAACCCTTTTTGATACCAATCATTGTAGAATACAGTTTTATGTGCTATTTTTATATCATTATTGAACGCGCATAGAAATGATATCAAATGTTCAACGTAGAGCAACAAAGTGCCTGGACTAAAAGACTTATGAGAGATGACAGAAACTAAAGCCACCAACCCTAGCATATAGGAGACCCCGCAGTGATATGATAGAGGTTTACAAAATCCTTTGTGGGAAATATGATTGTGAAGTTTCTGACATCTTTCAGAGAAGATTCATCAACACGTGGACACGACTTAAAGATTTATGAAAAAAAAATCCGACATTAGATATAAGAAAATTTTCATTTATACAAAAAATCTGTCGATATATAGAGTGACAAACTTTCCGTTACGTGGTGTGACAGTTAAGAATATTGTTAAAATATTGTTTAAAAATATTACAACATTTCAAAGTAATATTTTTATTTCAGAACTGACTGTTAAAGGATAATAAAATCCGACTTTGTCAGAATAAAATCTATATTTTTATATGTATATATCCGGAATACAAAACATGATCGTGTCTAAATGTACTTTCTGTGAATTACTTCCGGTTTACTAAAATGTCTTTACCGGCTTTTTACCATCTTGTGGTTTTCATATTTCTAGCGTATTCGTTTGCTTTTAACCTTTTAAAAGTCCAGGATGATCCAGGGACTAACCTTTTTACCTACCGCGGATATGGAGGAAAATTCAAATTCCTTACTTTTTGGCTTTTTGTAAGTGTCAAGAGTATGTCATCAGTGGGACCATGTAAGATCAAAGTACACTCGATTAACAGCCCATCGACAGCTAATCATGAGTGCAATTATCGAGTTACATATACAATTTACGATTAGTGTTATCACGTAGATTAATTTTCAAAATGCATTACTCATACAGAGGAATATTTCAAAAGTCACACTATCGCTAATACAGAATGATAAAATGCATGAAAATTTTGCTTTTCAATGAGGCAGTGAATTCCTTTTATCTGTAAGCCGACATACATGTTTCTTGTATTAAGCATTACATCAGAAAACCGATTTAAGTCAAAGCAATAAAAGACAAGTAGAAAAATGAAGGACAGATGAGTACCTAAATCATTTTCCCAAGCAGCTGGCAGTCAACTATGAAATAAACTAAAGTTTATAAGCGTAATTCCAAAAAACTTTTATCTATGTGTGCATTGCTATCCTCTTCAGAAACAACTTTTAAGGTAGGAAATGTCAATGGATGACTATTTTTGGTGAAAATATTAAACACTTGAAATCTTCAAAACGGTCAAAATATTAAGTTCACATTTCTTGTAGATTTGTTTATAAGAATACATGTAATAACATGAAAGACATTAGCCATATATATTTTATGTAAATATGATGTATTGCACCTTCTTAACTTAAAGTGTATCAGGAAAACGTGCCGATGCCATACCTGTTACTTAGAGTGATGGATGAAGGGGTCCTTCATCTTCATCAGAACTTTAATAGAAAATTTTACCAGGGCATGCATGATCACACTTTGTAAAAAAAATGCACCTCTTATGGTTGAGTTGCTAAAATGTTTACATTCCAGTATATCTTAAAACATGGTCTTTGTTATTATTGTATTCTGAAGTAAGGTAATTTTGGACATGGTGCTTTGTATATGCTTGAAAAAAAATCCAAGAAAAATGACAGGACATCTAAACTTCATATTTGAAAGTACATGTTGTGTACCTTAAAGAAATTGGTATTTTTGTATATAAATGCCTTCCATTTTCCAGTCATATTTAAATTTAAAATAATTATTTGTTTCCTGTTTACAGTTTCTACAGGTATTCTATTTTGGATTTTCTTGTGTGAATGATATTTTTGGATCCAATAATCGACCTTCACAGTCCAAGCCCTTCCTTCGCTCTACTTTACAACGTTGGCGGGATATTCTTTTATCTAGCATTGTATTTCCTGTAGGAATGGTAAGTCACATTCAAACATCAGCATCACTTAATTTATTTTTAAAGGCAGAGTTGCTTTGTAAAAAAAATAAGATTACAGAATTATTTTCATCTGCAGTAGTCTAATATTGTGAAACAAGAGGCACAAATGTATCTGTTTTTTTTTTTTTTTTTGGACACAGCCATAGAATAAAGTGTTGTACATTATTTAAAAAAATATCACTGTTGATGTCTATTTGATAAACAAATCAGCTATATGGTTTTAAATAAACACTGTTCTGTCAAAGACAGTGAAAATAAGAATACAAATCTGTATTTATAAATGATGACATAGACCAAGATTGATTTTCAAGAGTCGGTAGTTGTTGATCAGTAGATTTTCAGTATGAACTTATCTTGTGACTGAGTACTTTCAATCTATGTTTTCTCTTATACATTAATGTTTTCTAATTTCAGTTTGTAGTGTGTACATTTTGGGGGATATACTTTGTAGACAGAGAGCTGGTTTATCCTCAGAAGCTTGACAAATTTATTCCATCTTGGCTAAACCATGTTATGGTAAATATATCTACATTGTATTTCTCATAAAATATTAGATATTAAACTGGAGAAGTGATTTGAGTTTATTATGAAAGTATTAGATATTAAATTGGAAAAGGGATTTTTTGTTCGTTTGCTGGATATATCGCCGTTTGAACAGCTAGGGTCATTATGAGGCAAGGTCTCTTTGTGGCAACCTCATAGAACATGATACAGAAGGCCCATCACATACAATGCTTACTCCTAAAAATTTGCTTTCAAGTTAACCATTTCCCCCAAATATGAGTAAAATGGACCCCATTCTCAGGTGAGTGGAAAAAAAGCCCATCCTAATATTACTTTTAAAACATACATTGTTAGTTAATAAATGCCTTTGTGATTTTCTTTACAGCACACCACAGTATTACCATTCCTACTGGGGGATATGTATTTGGTTTACCACCATTTTCCCACACGCAAAAGAGGGCTGAAGATTCTCCTTAGTTTTGCTTTATCATATTTGGTGTGGTATGTATAAAATGATTTTATCACATTATTATGATGATATGGTTTGCATTAACCTATAGCTGCCTTAATCTTATACTACAAATAAAGATGGTAACCTGACATCTGACCTATGTTCTACAACCCTCTTTTATAGAGCACAGGATGAGGAGGGGTAAGGGGGCATATCATATACTGTTACCTATGTCCTCTCATTTCTTATAAGCATCACATCTGCTTCAGAATTAATGTCATGCTGTGAAATCACTCATTTTTGTGTTTTGCTTTGGTCTTTGTTGAAATTTGCTAAATTTTAGTCCATGAAATTATCAGACATGTGTGTATAAGATACTATTTTACATACAGAGTGTGAAATTTGACTTTGTCAGAATATAATTCAATTAATTCTAAAGGAAAATCGTGAAAAATTTGACCCTTGGAAATTACCACCAATGCAGTACACCTGATCCACAGATCCACAAATGTATATATATATGAACCAATTAATATCAAGTAGCATCAAGTTTTACACCTTTAATTATCATATTGTCATTAGTCAAGGATAAAGGTTCAAAGGTTGCATGGGAATGGAGGATTCCTTGTCTGTCATACTTTATATCATTTCTTCATTATCATTTGGAATACCATGCTTATCCTGAAACAAGGCCATGCCTGGATATGTAGGCAAACATCCATCCTTATACAATACACTACTGTTCAGTGAAATTATAAAACATATCCAAATTAACTAGAGATTTATCATTTGTCTCCAGGATACTATGGGTAGCCTACTATGCTAATATATGGGTTTACCCAGTTCTTCAAGTTATGGCACCACACGAGAGGGTTATCTTCATTGCCATTCTCATGGCTTTATTTATAAGTATTTACCTGGTTGGAGAAGGCCTGAACAAATTTCTCTGGGGTAAGTGTCTAGTACCTAGTTAGATATGCAGGTGATTATGTGATACCTTGTTAAAGATTTAGATAAATATGTAAATATATGATAACAGGTAAAGTGTCCAGGTAAATATGTGATACCTTATTAAGTATTTAGATAAATATGTAAATATTTCATACTTATATCAGGTTAAATATTTAGATGAATATGTAAATATGTGATACCTAGTTAGTTACTCAGATTTATTTTTATAAATATTATGGTAAATTTACAATTTAATTAATTTGCAAAAAAAACCGGATTTCCTATGTAACGAGGAAGATCTATTATTAATTACAACTAATTATTACAGTTATAATGACATTTCTTTTTAAAACAGGGAAGGAAAGAAGAAACTACCAGTTAATGCAACAGAAGTCACGGAGTTGATGTCAAAGTCACACAGATAGATATAATATATAAAATTGGCAGTATAGGGGCCAGTAATGTTTATCATTCAAATACCAAGTGTCAGATGTATGATTGACATGTGTTAATGATTTGTAGTAATTTCAGTCTAATTTAATCATCATGAACAAAAATTTATCTCGTTAAGAATACCGTGCATGGTGAACTTTGACGGAATCCTAATTTAGAAGATTGTTTACAGAAAAGTGTTCATCTTATGTACAAATTTATACACAATTTTATTGAAGTATTTGTGAAAATCTTTAGTTTTGTGATATTTCAGTCAGATATACCAGCTCTCTAATGGAAATGAAGTGCTGTAATCAAAGCTTTGAAAGTTTAAGACAATATTAGTATGTATTAGGGTGAACATTTAAAAGGAAAGGCTTTAGATATACAAAATTCAAACTCAATATCTGTATACGAGTGGATTTTAAGGAAGTCGTTTCTGTTAGCCATAAGTTTCATATACCTAAATTAGAAGATATTTGTTAAGATAGAGATAGGGAACGTTTTGAAGTGATGTCCTGAGCAAATAATCCTATACCTTGATAACCATATGTTTATTTAACATTCCGTTCAATGTTTTTAATTGATGTACTAGTTTTCTATTTGTTTGTTTTTGAATTATGACATAATATGTGTAGTTAAGAAAGTAATCATTGAAACATTGGCTTTTACAAAAAAAAAATGTTGGAAACAGAAGTGGATTCAAGGAAAAAAATCATTAAAAACACATGAATGTACCTTGAATTTTCACTGTAGATGTCATGCTGCCATATGAAAAAAATGTCTTCTACATGTATTTGGTTTTTTTCATCAGAGGAAATTGTATTACAAAAGCAGAACAGTTTTTTTCAAATCAGAAATCATAAAAAATATCAGAATCACTTTTACTTAAGAATTGAAATGTTTGAGTCAACAAAATTTTACAAGAATCAAAGTTCTAAGTAAAGGAATTATTTAGTGTATAAATTGTAGAAATGAAAGGATTTCAGTTGGTGTGCCATAGTCAGTGTATAGTCAACCAACTATTTTTGAGTGCAGAAATCCAGTTGTCTCCCCTTACTACATAACACAACTTACCAAAGACTTGAGTAATCTCTTGCCAAGTTGCAGTACACTACATATAGCTACCTCCCCTTAATTTACAGCATTATTCTCTGGAGACCATTAAATTAAAATTCAAATAAATAAATATCATTATTGAAATTAAAATTCATAAAATAATATACCATGTCCTCAAATTTATGGAAGTATATCATAAAATTGTAAAACAAGTTTCAGACGTTTCTGACAGTTTTGCTGTTATGTATGCTTTTTACGGTATCATCATCAGTGTTCAGAAAAAGAATATTGATAGACTAACATGAATTATTCGTAGATTGAAATGGAAAAATATATTATTTGATATTTGGAAATTTAATAATTTGTAAATTGTAAAAAAAAATTGGCTTGATAATTTTACAATAGTTTGCGTCTGTGACATTTTCTATGCTATTTCCTTTTCAAACCCTCTCTATACAAGTATGTGTTACATTATGTTTTGAATGTATTACGAAAATATATCATGGTGAGCTTATTATGCTTTGTAATGTCTTTCATAATAAAGTAATTGTGATTATTAAGAATGATGCCATGACTTACAATCATTTAATGTATGTTTCTTTTTTATTATTTCAACATTCCTGAATCCATAACAAGTTCGACCATTTGGACATTTTACATAAATAATACGCAAAAATGAAGGTTGTTTATTCCAATCAATGCTTTAGACAGAGGCTATGTAAATGTGATTTTATGGAATGTACACAGATTTCTGACTTTATCTAATCTAGCTACTGAAGTAGTGGGGCCGTGATGGCGAAATGGTTGAGGCGTCTCTAGCCATCAGGGGGTATGCAAATAAATAGCAAGGACTTCTTTGAGCAATGGATATAGTTGGAAATCCGATGCTGAAGAAGATCCATTTAACCGTCGGCTGCGGAGAACAATGTGAAACTAGACGACAGACGAAAAAAGTACATTTAGTTTGTGATTTCAATGTAGAGAAAAATTGAGCCTGTCCGTGGGGGCAGCAGCATAAGTACTTGAGAAGCAATAGATAATGACTCTTTTTTTCGATGTATTCTTACATTGTATTTCTACGGAAGCGTATTCCGGCCACGTTGTGTTTTATCTTAACTCGAAATTTCGAGCTAGCAATCAGAAATTTTGAGTTAGTAATCAGAAATTTTGAGATGTTAACCCGAAATTTCGAGTTGCTATCTCAAAATGTCGTATTACTAACTCGAAATTTCGAGTCACTAACTCAAAATTTCGAGATTAAATAAAACACAACCTGGCCTGAATACGCTTCCGTATATTTCAGCGAACTATCAAAGATTCTAAAATAATGGTCATGTAACGCAGGAAGGACGACACAGTTGTATGACGCAGTTAAATTTACTGATTGGCTCTGCTGTATCTAATTTAAATTTGTATGAAAAGGTGACATTCACTTGTGTGTCTTTCTACAAGCTTGGAGTTTGAAGGTGATAGACACTGCTGGTGGACTGTTAGTCCCCCAAGTTTGCCGTAACCTGCATGCCACGTTTTAATTCATTCGAATAGTGACACTGTTAAGAATATACACATGTACTTGACGTTCATGTCAGAGTTATGAAATTTTGAAATTTAATGAATTCCGGGGCAAGATTTTGACATTTCTTTCGATCACTGAAGTTACCCCAGTCGCCTCCAATATTTAAAATTGAAGTCGTAAGCATCACTGACGAGTCCTAGAAAGACGAAACGGCTATATGGTGCAGTTAAATTCGTTGTTTAGATCTACTGTATCCTATTTGAATTTGTATTAAAACCTCTATTCACTTGTGTGTCATTTGAACAATCTTTCATGATCTTATCCCCGACATATTTTTTAATTGAAAAGTCGTTGCCCTGACGATCATTCTGACGCTAGCCTCGACATCGGAGATATTGTTTAAACGACAAAATTCATGAACTGATCTTCAGTATACACAACAATTACATAATTAGAGGCGAAAATGAAGAAACGCTTGAAATGAATGAAAGGAGATTTGGAAAATTTTGTTTCTTTTGTTTCAAGTGGTTGCGTAAGAATAAATTTATAAAACAAAGGAAATTGGTTATAGAGACAATATACACACGTACATTATAGTCTTCAGAGATATGGGATCTTTGGGGCTTAAGTTTAGTGCCCTAATGTTCTGAATCACGTGATGTCCTATCTGTAACTGCCCGACAAGGAATAGAAAACAAAACCGTTAATTCCAATTTCGCGGTAAAGTTTATCAACTTAATTAAGGATCAGTTTCACAATAACGTCGTCTTTTTACTACATTTTTGTGAGACTCTTTAAATATTAACATTTCCATTTACATTTGCTTTGGGTTTACAAGTTTATAAAAAATAAATTCACGAAATTAAAATTAGGAGAGAGAAGCGGATTCACACTAATGTTTACAGCAAGTGCACAGAGGCCCGGCTTCCAACACACCAGGCTTGAAGTAATGATTTTGTTGGTAAGACCAGTTATAATATACAAACCGGAAAAGCGAATATTTGTGAATAATATATGTGATATCTTGTAACGGAAGTGATGTAACTTTCAAACGGGAAAAAAAAAACAAAAAACAAAACAAACAAAAAAACAGAAAAACAAAAAGCAATAACAATGTGTTTTGAAGTTCTTCTGATGAAGTTTCTCTGAAAAAAAGTATCCTGGAACATAAACTAATCGAGGTAAGAAAACAATTAAATTTTATATCAATCCTTGTTTAAAAGTTTCCTATTTAAAAGCGTGTAACTGAAGTCAATATCGACAGTGTGGAACTTAGAATCTAAATGCTTTACTCGGTTATACATGATTTTACCATATGTATGTAGAACTCCTTTGCAATATAATTATTATCAATTTTCTTAAGGTTTGGTATTGGTAGTCCACTTTTTAAAAGTATTTTTAAAGAATTTATCTTATGTTGTAACGAAATCAGACAATAACATAACTGAACTTAATACAACAGTAGGCAGTTCTTATAGGCTGTTAAATACAGAGGACTGACTATACAGGCCTGTGGAGTGATTAAGTACTTGTTAAATTTAAGATGTTAATACACCAATTTCAATACAGAGTTTATATAACGTATGACATAACAGTTATTTGCCAATCAGAATAAGAATGGTCGGGTAATATTTTATTTCTTTGTGTTTCACGGGTGCTCGTTAGTACTCTTGGTAGTTCCTTTATTGTTACTCGGAGATTGACAAAGATTTACATGGCGGGTTTCGTCGATGAAGCAGAAACTGTTTACCATTCCTTTTAGTATCCACGAATTTTTTTATCAAATATTAAAACAAAATACTTAAATAGGTTATTTGAACAGCCGCTAGACAAATTCGATTGTCCAAGAACTACTCTTTGTTAACATTGTTGTGCAGAGTAGTATGTAATTAACATGTATGAGAAACGCGGTCACTTACAATATCTGTATTACCCACATGCTTCTGATGTCTGATTGCTGTGAAACAAAATGGTCTTAATCACCTAAAGGCTGAAACACGATCTTGTTTTCTTTGCTTTCCTACAGCGTTTTTTTTTTTTATTTTTATTTTTTTGACAAATCTTTCTTTTGTTCACATAATGGCCCAGTTCCATTGATTTTGATATTGAACAAATACTTTTCTAACATGGCGATATTTTATTATTGTTTTAAATAAATAGAAATTATAGTCCATAATTTAGTTCTTAACATACCATAACCGGCATTAGGTCGTGCAGGTACATATAAACAGTGTGTTTGTTTGAGACTGTCATATCGTATAGAATATTTGCGTGGATACCTTAACGGACTGTCAACGACAATAAAGGCTATCATTTTACCGGTATTGTCTTCACTGTGTAGCATGTTAATACAGTTCGCTGTTTGTAGCAAACCGTTAATCTTTATTCATTATTGAGAAGCCTTGTGTATCGCGGAGATGAATTGTCTGGTTAGATCGCTTGTTGAGATATTCATACTTTGCCAGGTTTAAAGAATCTACCGCGCCTTCATACCGTTCCAGATGGTGTAGCAATTTACGAATACTTCTTGAATGGGTACTATCAAAGAAATGGGGATATATTGACCCCAGTAGACATTTATCAAATTCCATACCGTTTAATATTTACCGATATAAAGAAAATTATGATTTTTTTTGTATAATTACTATCGAGCAAATATAAATTCCAGTGGATATTTCTTAAATCCCATACTGTTTAATATTTTCAGATATAAAGTATATTATGAACGTTCTTTGTATAATTACTATCAAACAAATAAAAAAAACAATGTAGATGTTTTCTTTAATCTCAAAAAAATGTAATATTACATAATGTGAAGCAAATCATGAACGCTCCTATAATAAGAACTGTCAAACAAATAGGCACGTGCAGATATTGACCCTAGAATATTCGTTTCCTGTCATCCCTTGCCATTTTTATTATTGTATTCAAAGCAAACTGTGTTTTTTATAATTACTGTATAAGAAATAGATGTATATTGAGCCTAGTGAAATTGTTCTTTTCTCAAACACGATTTTAAAAATTCTAATCATCGAGGCAAGAATAATGATAATAATAATTATTATTATGACATTCTTAACGGCCCGTCAACACATAAAAGGTCATTAGGGCCATCAAACGGTCAAACACATTACGAACGAGCAAGAAAATACCAATAACACGGTGTAACACTATTTACTGTGAACGTATTAAATTTGGCGAAATATAATTTTAGCGAATGATTACATTTTGGCAAAATAGCGCAATGTTCTATTTGCGCATCCATTACAATTACTTTATAAACAGCATACAAGAAAGTTCAATTAGTTCAAAATATCTGAAATAAAATTGCCACCAAAATATATACGGTATGTAATTTAGATTTCTGTTATCTAGTCTTCAGATCAACCAAACATAACATGTTCTTAATTCTCTATTCAGTTGAAAATCAGTTGTTTAGTTAGAAAACTGAATGTCGATGTTTCAAACAGTTGATCTCAATATGTCGAACCTGACTATTTAGTTAAATAACTGAGAGTCGAATTTTCAAACAGTTGATCTCCATATGTCGAACCTGACTATTTAGTTAGATAATTGAGAGTCGATGTTTCAAACAATTAATCTGGATATGTCGAAGCTGGCTGTTTAGTTAGATAATTGAGAGTCGATGTTTCAAACAATTAATCTGGATATGTCGAAGCAGGCTGTTTAGTTAGATAATTGAGAGTCGATGTTTTAAACAATTAATCTGGATATGTCGAAGCAGGCTGTTTAGTTAGATAATTGAGAGTCGATGTTTCAAACAATTAATCTGGATATGTCGAAGCTGGCTGTTTAGTTAGATAACTGAGAGTCGATGTTTCAAACAATTAACCTGGATATGTCGAAGCTAGTTGTTTAGTTAGATAACTGAAGGTCGAATTTTTAAACAGCTGACCAGGATATATCTGTAAAAGGACACTTTAGACAGTCGGTGAGAATACATTATACCTGATTGTTTAGATATA